TCTTTGTGCCAGGGAAATCAACAAAAAAATTGACAATGTCCTCAAAGACGTCACAAAAATAGTGAATTACATCATCGCTCGTGCTCTGAATTGTCGGCAGTTTTAAGTACTTCTTGAGAAGGTTCAGGCACAGTATGATTGTTTATTTATGTACAATAATGCCCGGTGGCTGAGCAGAAGATGAGTCCTGGAGAGATTTGTAGCCTGCTTGGATGAAATTAGGGTATTTATGCATGAAAAAGGGCAAGAATATCCACAGCTCACTGATATGGCCTGGCTTACCAACCTCATGTTTTTTACAGACTTTACACACCACTTCAGTCTACTGAACAAACAATTACAAGGTGCAGGGAAAACAGCAGAAAGGATGTTTTGTGATATCAAAACATTTGAGAGAAAACTGCAGGTTTTTGAAAGAGATCTTGAAAGTGGGCAGCTAATATTTTCCTAGTCTAAAAGTTCATTTAGAAAATTCTACAACATTTGCAGACAATCCTACAAGCCATCAGGAAATCTACAATGAGACAACCCTGTGTTTTCTTACTTCTCCAGATAAAGCCAAATTTGAAGAACTTGATTTTTCCTCCTTAGAATGGTTAGATTTAGGAAATCTGGAAATGGAGCTACTAGAATTTCAAGGGAAAAATAAATTCTGTGACCTGCGTGAAACACTAGAGAAGATGGAAGGGATGACAAAGGACAGCACAGTTAGTTCTGAGAACGAAATCCTCAAAGTGTGGAATTCTCTGCCAGATAATTTTAAATCCATGAAAGCACTTGGGATTGCTTTCCTTACTTTGTTTGGATCATCTTACGCTTGTGAGTAGCTGTTTTCAGCTTTGAATTATATCAAATCTGACACCAGAAGCAGACTAACAGATGACCTGAGTGCTGCATGTGTTGCTCTCAAACTTACAAACTATGAGCCAAGGGTAGATAAATTATCAGCAGGCATACAACAGCAAAAATCACATTAATTCTTTAAAAGCATGCCAAATGCAAACTTTTACTTTTCAATAAAAACTTATATCATTGAAAGCTCTGTTATTATGTTTTTGGGAGGTGGAGTGAGTGGGGGATTTTCACTTTTTGCCTCATTTTGCTCTTTTAAAAAGAACGCCCCCAACGTCCCCCTGCATAGCCAGAAGCCTTGCGCCATCGCCTTTCTCCTGCAGCGCTCCCCCAGCCCTTTTCCCTTCCTTTTAAAACAAACACACACCCCCAATCCTCCCGCTCCTTCCTTCTGAATTAAAACAAGAGAAAGCCAAGTTTTTTTCTTTTGTGGTCTTTACATATTTAACCTTCAGAAGGAAGTGGGGAAGAAAACCATTGTGACACACTCTTGTGTTTTAACTTTTTTTCCTTGTCGCTTTTTGGAGTTTTTATCCTGCTTTTGTGAGAAGGTAGCATTTGGGAGGGGGTGTACCTGCCCTTCTCTCTAAGCCATCAGCCGAGCAAGATGTCCGCCTGCCTGAGCTCTTCCCTGAGGCTTTCATTGAAGATTGGCGGAGGGGGGCTGTTTGGTTTTTATTCCCCTCCCATCTGCTGGGTGGTTGCAGCAGGTTTTGGTCTCTTCTGTCGTGCTTTGAGGTTATCCATGAAGCATGTTTGTTTGGGGGGGGCACTGTTTGCTAAGCTTGCTTAAACCCTTCCACCTCCTCCTTCTCACCAGAGCCCCCCTTTGTCTGCAACCAGCCCCGGCCCCTGCCTTGCCTTGCCCTAGGGCAATGGCACCCTTGCCCTGCCCTGCCCCTTCCCTTGCCTCACCTTACCCTGCAGGACAAGCCTCTTACCCACTGCCCCAGCCACCAGAAAACCCCTGGATCTCCTCCAATCCTGCCTGGCCCCCACAGGCATCTCTCCCCAGGAGCAACATCGAGGTGGCCGTGCCCACCCTGGCCACACACCCATACTGCCATGACCATAGCCCAGCCCACTCGGTTCTTGTGGAAAACGAAAGAACTCTTACGAATTCCAGAGGGGTTAGCAGAGAAGTTTATTTGCGCAAGATTCAGAGCATATTATAGATAGGCAATTCTGAACGAGGAGGGCGTGATTAGACTTCAGTTTTTATACTCCCCTCCTTAAAGAACAAAGGGCTACACATTGAAATACACACTGTGATACATTAGGAACGTTTCTCACAGGCATAGAATGGAAGGTTTGTTGCCACATATTACTGACAGAGACCTTTCCCAGTGAATTTTCCCAGTGATTATGCAGACACATCATTATTCTAATAATTGTTCAATTTTACTATATTATGGTAGCCACACTCCCGGCACCCGGCAATGCATAAATGGGTTTCAGGTTGCAGTTTGGGCACTTGGTCTTTAAAAGGTTCGCTTTTAGCCCTTCATCCACTGCAGGATAAAGGCCTCTTCTGCATGTTTCCAAACAATAGTCCTGAGCTTTCTTTTGCCAATTGCTTTAATAAATTCAGGAAAGCAGGCAATAAGACCAAATGAATAAATTTTCACAATATAAGAACGTGTATAGTGTTCTTCCAAGTAAGCATTTTGGAATACTGTATGCAGTGTGTGTGTGTGTGTGTGTCTCCAATCGATTTTCTAACCAAAAGAATAATTTTAAAACGGCAAACGTTCCTCAGTCTATGCCAATTCCAATTGATGCATATTGCACCGAATCATCGAAAGTCTGAATACGCCGTTTAGTATTCGTCCAGGTTTTGCAATTAATTCAGCAGGGCTCTTTAGGTGTCATATATCCCCCGAATACGATGGGAAAATACTATTTCCTTAGCTGCGGGTATGATTGCTTTCTTGCACACTGCATGCTGCCCTTTAACAAATACTTCCTCAAAACAAACTCAAAACAAAAACTCACCGGAAATCTCGCTTAAACCGCATAAAATAAATCCCGCCTCTTAACGCTTAAAGGAGCCACAAACTTCCGGAAGCTTTTTTTTTTTTTTTTACAGCCCTTCTCCAGCCGTTTCTGGGCGCCTTTAATTCCTAGTCACATGACGATACGTAATCAAGAATGGCGACAGGTTTAGGAGCATTTGGCGCATGCGTAGTTTAGCATCCTGGTCTTTCCCGCCAGCTTTTAGAAGATTGGAGTTCTTGGAAAGACTACGAGGAAGATAGCTGACTGAAGGCCGGAGAAGGAGGGGAGCGGGAGCGGGGAAGAGGTGTAAGAAAAAAAATTGTCTCACACCGCTTCTGCCTTCCTCTCTCCCCTAAATTCCCTGTTTTTCTCCGTCTCCCCCTTTTCTTTACAACGGTTTCTACTGCGGTTTCTCAGGTTGGGGGCGGGAGAATGCAGAATCGTCGCCCATGTCTGAGATTAGGGATAGGTTTTTCTGTGCTAAGTCAAATCGCGATCTATCTCGGATACTAAAGCGTTTGAGGCGACTTTATTGGATCCGGAGCCTTCCAAGTGTGTGGAACTATATCTCCCATCGTCACCCCAAACCTTCATAAACTTTCAGCAGGTGATCTGCTAATTGGGAATGATGGGATGTGTGTGTATAGGTCCACACATCTGGAAGGCCCCAAATTAGGGCAGGGATGGCACAGGGAAAAAAAACCGAATTGTAGGACTTCTGAAGAGTGAGAAGGAGGATCCTTCTTGCCTGTCTAATCTCATTCATCTTCCTGAGACTTTTTCCATTTCTGAGATGGTTTCACACCTACAGCAGTTGTAAAATATAAATCTAAAACCATGCTGCTGCATTATTACATCATCTCTCTTTCCAATATTTTGCATGATAAACAAGAAAAGGTCCTGTGTGAGCCACACAAAACTCAGAGCAAGTTTTTAAAAATGGTTAAACCTGCAGGAATAGCCATATGTCAAAATCATCTGCTAGTCAAGGCAGATTTATTTGTTTGTTTATTTCCATTATTTAGCTGGGGAGGGGAAAGGATTGATACAGTGAGTATGGGAAACTTTGGGAACCCTTGAGTTAGATTACAATGATTTGCAAACCCCCCCCCCCTGATTTTCCATTTCCTTCTGTACTCTGAATGATTTTATACTTAGGGAGCATTAAACACCTATCCATATAAAAAAAGGATGCTACAATCAGCTGCTTTATAATTAGATAGTTCCCTTAAGATTTTATCATATGTATTTGTGTGTGCTGTAACTCTTTAGAGAAGATCTAGGCTGTTAGATTTCCTGTATAGTTTTACTGGAAAAAAGGAATACAACACAAGAACTAGAAAAAGAATCATTTATTTTCTTCTTTATTAGATTTCTATCCAACCTTAATATAGAAAATTAAGGTCCCATATATAGTGCTCTCTTGTATTTTCTCCTGCAGCAGCAACTCTGTAGGTTGGTTCGATAAATTGTTCCAAAGTTGCCCAAGTAATAATTATTTTACAGATAATTAATGTCAGTCGAAATGTTTTTAGAGGATAGGATCACTCATCACTGATCAGATCTGTGATTTTTGTCTGTACAAGTAGTCCTTGACTTATGACTACAATTGAGCCCAAAATTTTTGTTGCTAAATGAGACAGTAGTTAATTTTGCTTCACTTTATGACCTTTCTTGCCACAATTGTTAAATGAATACCTGTAGTTAAGTTAATAACATGATTGTTAAGTGAATCTGGCCTCCCCATTGACTTTGCTTATTAGAAGGCCATAAAAAGTGACACCCCCAGGACACTGCAATCATCATAAATAAGAGTCAGTTGCTAAACTTCTGAGTTTTGACCATGAGTGTGCTGCAACATTCGTAAGCGTGAAAAATAGTCATAAGTCACTTTTTTCAATGCCGCTGTAACTTCAAACAGTCACTAAATGAAGTCGAGAATTACCTCTATTTTAACAAATGAAAGGTGTTTTTTTAATATTATAGTTCAACAATTGACCATTATTTGATTCATAAAAATATTGATAGTCAAACTACCTAAAATGTTCCTTGGATATAGTTCTTTACAGATGATTGTTCCATTGATCTGCTTTTTATTTATTTTTTAAAAAGACCTAATGACTTCTTTCTTTTTTCTTTATTAGTTAAACAATGAAAGGTAGCAAGGAGCCATATGTTGTGAAGTTTATAAAAACTGCAGAAAGTTCAGAATTTTTTCTTCAAGCCCTTGAGGTATGCTTATTTAATGTGTTTAAAACCATCTAGTAAGTTAGTTATAGTCATTAAAAGACTAGTTATAGTCATTAAATATATGTTTTTATAGCAGGAATTTCTTAGTGCTCTTTTTCTTCATAATAACTAGACAGGAAGAATTTTGGTATCTATAGTTATGACTAACTGTCCCACTGATTTCAGTGGGTCTATCCTAAGTGCAAGTGAATTGAATCAAATGAGATTTGTGTATTGAAATATTAAACAGCAATTTTGCATGAATAGGTATAAAGTAAGCATCTTTAGTTTTAAATATAATTTGTTAAATAAAGTTATATGCCTGAGTGTTCTGGAAGTTTTGGATGCAGTGAAACCTTACTCTACTCAGCCAATGTTAATGAAATAAAAGCTTCATATAAAGATGTATAATTCTTTTTCTTCATAAAAACAAACCATAGGACAGTAACTTGGTATCAGGTAATTATGAATATGGTCAATGTTCACAGCAAGGACTAAAATGCAACTTTACTGAGAAATATTAGTTTCAACTTCCTGCAAATGCCTGCAGCATTTTTGATTAGTATAGGAAAAATATCTCAGTGACATAATGTTTCCTACTGAAAAACTATTTTTTGGGAATGATTTTTCTACTTCCCTCAACATAAAACAACATTTAAAATTAATTTTACAGTAATAACAACATTAAAGCTTGGTTGGTCTAGTTTGATCTAGTGATTAAGGCATCAGGCAAGAAAGCAAGAGATCACAAGTTCACGTCCATCTTGACCATGAAAGCCAGCTGGATAACCTTGGGCCAATCACTTATTCTCAGTCCAACTCACCTCACAGGGTTGTTTTGGGGAAAAGAGGTGCAGGAAGATGTGCTAGATATGTTCAGAGCCTTGAGTCATTTGTAAAAATAATAAAGGCTTGATAGAAATAAAGAAAGTGAAAACTGGCCTTGCTCATGTTTACCATGCTGCACAAATCCAATTTGGCTCATGAGCTGCTAGAAATTGGATAGCAGTGATTTTGAGAAAATTGCTTTGAAGTAAAGAGAATGCTTTTTGCATTGAGTTATTTGCTGCTTGTGTATTTTGCAGTCCATCAAAGAATTTCAGTCAGAAGAATGTCTTCAGATTCTTGATAAGGAAGCTGCACTTAGAATACAAGAGAATGACAAATCCCTTTATATATGTGATCAGTTTAGTGGCATTGTTTTTAATCATCTTCAAAAGGTTTGCATTTTATTTATATTGTTATTTTTTGTCATATCTTGGTAAAGTGATGACACATAATCAGATGAATTACAGTGTACTGAATTTTGTTGCATTCCATTTCTGTATTTGGCTATTAAACAAATAACCAACAAATGATGATGGGTTAAAATTTTAGTGCCAATTTTTCTTTCTACTATATTTCTTTGTTATATACAAGTTTTATTAATTTTTCCAATTAATAAAGTACTTATATCCAAGTACTTAGGAAGCAGCGTGGTGATAGGGTAGTCAATAGTCCAATAACAAAATCATTCATGTACATCTCAGGTTACATCAATAAAGGTTCCCTCTCTAATTTCCAACAAATATTATATCATATTCATATTAATAGATTTCTAGCTAAAGTTCAATCAATCCATACATTTGTGAATAACATTTAGGTTATACATATCCAAGTCCTGTTTTTAGGTTTTATTTAATTCCAATTAGCATATTCCAATTTAGCCTTTTATAACCACTTTCTACCATACTTCTTGAAGAATGTATAGTTAGTTAGAGCAGGGGTGTCAAACTGCCGGTCCGCAAGCCGGATGCGTCACGTGGAAGCCGTGCCCACCCCATTGCAGGCAATGGCAAAACCAGCTCGATACGTTGCGTGGCGTCACATGACGTCGCAAGTTTGACATGCCTGAGTTAGAGAGAAAAAAATGACTATTTGAATGTATTGATCTTTTGAAAAATTGCGAAGCTATTTGCATGGATACTGTTTCAGATAATAGTACATATTAAGTGGCTGGGAAATTGCTTTGTGAAAAAAGAACTATTAATTTTCTTCCTTTATCTTTTTCAGCTTGGTTGTAGGATTGTGGGGCCACAGGTGGTTATCTACTGTATGCAAAATCAACTATGTGTGCCAAAGGCTGATCATCCAGTATTTAATATGACAATGGCTGATGTAACAGTATCTTGTACAAGTCTTCCAAAGGAAACAAGGGTAAAATATTACATAGAATTCAGATTCATAGAGGAGGTTTATCTTCTCAATGTTTATAAAGTTATGTTTGACTTCTAGCCATGTTAATTATCAGTTAACTGTAGAATAGGTATAGAAGCATAAAATTCAAAATAAAAGGGATCAGATTTCTTTATTATTTTATTAAAACACCAACAGATGTTTAATAACTTCAAAAATTCTTCAATCCTACTTTTACACGTAAGTTATTTTAGAAATAAATTGCCTTAATATATTTAAGGTATAACATGATTGGTTAATAGCATTTATCCTTGCTTTGGCAAGAGAGCAAGGTCATTTTTAAGTGTCATTTCAAATATTTGAAGTTTTTTTTCTTCTCAGTCCCAAGTTACTTATTCTCAGTAAGTTCTTTTGCTATTTATATAATCTTCCAAAGTTTATAACTTTTCTCCTGAATCTTCTCAAATTTATCAGTATTTTACGTTACAGTAATAACGTAAAATAGAACACTCCATTGGTTTAGTTGGTTTAGTTATACTTCTATGAAAATTATTGAAATGTGGCATTGTTTATATTGAAGATAACTAGCAGCTCTATGTGACTTGTACTTTTATCTACTAGTGTTTTTTTCCCATAGGAGGAAGTCCATGAAAATGTACAGTTGATGGGTGGCCGTGTATACAGAGATCTTAATGTATTAGTAACTCATCTTATAGCTGGAGAAGTTGGAAGCAAAAAATATTTAGTTGCTGCTAATCTTAAAAAACCCATTTTGCTCCCCACTTGGATAAAAACATTGTGGGATAAATCACAGCACAGGTAAGATAATTGTGTATGCATTTGAACTACCTGAACAATTCTGACCTGCAATATTTTTAAATAAAGAATTAACATTCTTGTTACAAAAGGAGCATGCTTTAATGAGAAATTTTACAAAGAAACACACCCTGTTGATGGGGAAAATATAAAAATGTAAGAATGATGTCCTTAACATCTAAATTTATACAACCAAATATGTATTCTTTTCAGTTACTAACACAGAACCCTTATTGTCCTGGGTAAAAATTTAATCAAATTTTGAATAAACCCATTAGAATAATCAGGTCTTAAGTCAGACCAAACATAAGCTTGAGTGCAAGCTCCAGTGTCACTCCAAAAGTTCCCAACAAATTCTTATTTTTAATGAGACAGGAAGGACACTTATAAATGTATGGAATAATCTTACTAACTGTAATGTAGGGTTTTTTTTCTCTGTCCCCTTCAGGCAGCCTTGTCCAGCCAGTTGCTAGTAGTTAAGTTCCTGCAATTTTTTTGGCATCACTTTGGAAATGGTTTGTTCATGCCTTCTTCCTAGGGATGAAAGAAAATGACTGGCCCAAAGTCACTCATGTGTTTTTATGCCTAAGGCAGGACTAAATTCAGAGTCTTCCATTTTGTAATTTGATGCCTTAACCACTGCATCAAACTGGCTGTCAATTTAATTTATGTACATATAAATTAAATCAAGTTTAGTCCTGCTTCTAGTCTTACGTACTTTTTGGACTCTGGCTCCAAAAAGCCACATTAGTTAAAATCAGAGTAGCACACCTCTGAAATAGATGCATTAACATCATTGTCTGTATTCAAAGAAGTCTGCATTCATCACTGTTTTTCCAAAAAAAGATCAAGAGACATAATTATTCTTGTTTTCAAAAGGATCATTAGATACACAGATATAAATATGGGAGACTTTCTGTGTCCTCCATTTCTTGGTTGTACAATCTGCGTAACTGGTTTAAGCAGCATGGATAGACAAGAAGTGCAACGTCTCACCACTGAGAATGGTGGTCAATATACAGGGCAACTGAAGATGAATGAATGTACACATCTTATTGTTCAAGAACCAAAAGGTAAACAAGAAATCTTTGACATATATTTCTTGTTAGGTTGAGTTCAAGAGGTTTGTATTTGTGTAAATATTTGCAGACAGAGAATCAGATTTCACTTTGTACTGGGCTTAAATTTTGAATGTAGAATGTATCATATTACTTTCTACTGGATTTGCTGCAAACAAATTGTATTAGTGATATTTTTGTGTAGTACTTCAACTGACAATGGACAGCTTTTTATGGCAATGAAAATAAAAATGTTTTAAACTTAATTTAGAGTTCTTCAAATACTGCCTTTATGTTAATGTTGCATTTCTGAATTTCATGTGACTTTCTGCCACTTTCCCCAGCATTTATTAAAGGGATTTTGATATGAAAATAGAAGAAGTCTATAACATAATTAGATTCATTTAAAAATATATTTCATATGTTCTATTAAATCCCTCCAAATCATGCAACAGAATTTGGAAGCATAATACATAAACACAAGGTTAAAAACAATAATAAAAGCAATGATAAAATACTTAACCAGAAGGCTTCATACATGGAACAATCAAGTAGAATACTAAGTACAATTATAGACCAATATAAAGGGGTAAATTTTTACAAACTGCTTGAAAGCTATAATAAACGGATGTGGCACATTCCCTGTGTAAGTGACAGACTATATCTAACAAAGTCCTATTCTTTATGTATGCCTACTTGTATTATAGGTAGGACATAAGGAAGGCTGGTCACTGACTAATAAATATTTGATTACTTGTAAAGAAGGCTTGGAAGTATTAACATGGAAAAGATATTTTGGGTAACTCAAGCTAAAAGTGCTCAGAATTTAAAAGATGATGCCAGCATTTTAAATCAAACCTGAAAATACATCAGTCACCAGTATATCTGATTACAGTTCTCCAGAATAGAGTGACTATTGTCCATATAGGCTTAAATTTCTGAATTTTCTTTAAAGGAAAACTTTAAAGGATGAATACATTGTAGTTAACTTAGTTTGGATAATAAGATGTCTTCTTGAAATAAAGCTGCACATTAGGCTACTGAAAAAAGTAGCTATTGACATTTTTTCTCCAGAGTTTTTTTTATAGTTCAGGTCTTCTGTATAAGAACAATGGGAATTTTGAACAACAGCCTGCTAAATTGAAATGACAGGCTATGGTGCCTGCATTTTCACATTTATTTAGCAAATTACATTGATCTGAAAATTAACACTGGAACTTAAAAAAAATGAAAACTGACTGACCTTCCATCCAGACCTCACTTTTGGCAAATGAAAGGAGTCTTAAAAATCTATTTTGAATGGTTGGAAACTTTCCTTAAGGAGGGGAAGGAAGGGAGCAAGATTTATAAATATAAATATAAGATTCTTCTTTATGTTGCTGGGAGTGTTCAGAGAGCAAATTCATACAGGCGATTTTCCTATCAGTGGGAGTAATTTGTGGATCCAATCCTTTTTTTTCCTATTTACTGAATCAAATTCATTGCAAGGTGATTTCATGGACATGTTTCAATTTTTGTGTTTAAGTGGATAAAATGTAAAACCAAATAGAAAATAATGTTGAGCCTCATTGGTTTTTACTTCATGATATTTTATTAATGAGCAGGTAGGGCTTAGTAGAGAGGCATTCTGTACTAGCAATACCTAGCATTATTCAGCCACTGATGTTGCAGTATAAGACCTCTTTTTGTTAGTAATATATTGCCATTGTGATGATCTAATTATATTTAATTGCATGTGCAAAAAAGCTCAGACACAGCTATATTGTTCCAATGCCAATATATAGCTAAGGAGTCATTTATAAAAGGAAAATGTAAGCACCTTATATTTCATTGTAGTCCAAAAAATAAGTTTGTGGGTGCATTTTTTAAAGTTGATTTTTAAATATAAATAGAATAGGATCTCTGGCATTTTAGCTAATAAGTACAGTTGGAAGTTTTAGAGTAAGGAGTCTTTCTTTATTCCAAACTGCCTGCCATAGTGTTGTACTGTAGATAGTTACAGAACAAAGAACCAATTGGGACAAAGAGATTTGGTGCATTTATTTAAGAAAATGTCTAGAAAATCTTTACAAAGCTTGCTCCGTATATTTCATATGCTCATGCAGTTTACATGCTTCAGAAGAAATGTAACATGTATTATTTATTATTTTGTCTTTTCTTGGGAAAGGCCAGAAATATGAATGTGCAAAAAGGTGGAATGTTCATTGTATATCCATGCAGTGGTTTTTTGACAGCATTGAAAAGGGATTTTGCCAGGATGAATCAATGTATTTGATAGTTCCTAGCACAAAGCAAGATAATGCACCAAGCACTTCAACTCCTAACCAGACCCAACCAAATCAAGCTAACCAGACAGACAGTAAGTAATACATAAAGGGACAGATTTCCTATATGATCTAGATTGTATAATTATTAACTGACTTAAGATTGCAGCATTTTTTTTGTTTTTAGGAAAATACTAGCCCATAAATATTTGGAAGGTCTGGATTCTATTATGGCTGTTTACTTTGGGATGCTATGTTCAGATTATTTTTGTTACATTTTTAAGTAGAAGAAATGAATCTTCTAACCAAGTACAGGAAATCTTTGATATATAACCATTCATTTAGCAACCATTCAAAGTTACAATGACACTGGAAGAAATGATTTGCAACCAGTACTCACTGGTTTGTAACCTTTGCAGTATTCCCGCAGTCATGTGATCAAATTTCAGGTGCTTGGCATGTATTTGTGACAGTTGCAGTGTCATGGGATCATGTGATCACCTTTCTGACTTTCTGACAAGCAAAGTCAACAGCAAAGCCAGATTTGCTTAACTGTGTTATTAACAGCTGCAAGTGATCCACTTAACAACCATGGTAAACAGAGTCATGAAATTGGCCTCACTTAAAAACTGCCTTAGTTAACAACAGAAATTGTGGTCATAAGTTAACTACCTGTATTGTACCTCAAGTCATCTTTTTAGCCACTCCCTTATCAAAATATTCTGTCCACTTTTCATCTCCCAAACTGCAATTTTCTGTGGCTACTGAGCATGTTCAGTCCTCCTTGATGAGCGTTGAGTACTTACAAAAAGCATAAGGTATGATAGTTTTGCTATAAAAATAATTATAAAAATATAATTATATACTGATATCAGCATATAATAATTCATACAGTATAATAAGTTGAACCATGGTAAGACCAAATAGCTTTGGATGCATGGTCTTTTAAAAGGACCCGAAGACCCAAGTCTGCCGATGGACCTGAGGTCCCAATGGGGGTATATCATTCTGGATATGGCTAATGGGCTAAAATAAGACTCCACCTCCTCCCCATGTGCATCTTGCTCCCTTCCCATCTTTATTAATTTTAAGTTAATTTACTGTTTCTATTTATTGTTTTAATGTTTCATATAGTTGCTTTTATTGATTATAAGCCACTAAAGTTACCGCTAAGTGATATGGGCGGCAAACAAACAAATAAATAAATAAATAAATAAGGCTGTGCATGATCTTTAAGAAAGAGGTGGAAATGCATTTGGAAACCTCTTCAAATCAATAAAGCAACAGTTTTGCACCCATATGAGCCCCCAAAGAGATAAAATTATTTTATTGATTTGAAAAGAGGTGCTTTAGACAGAGTCTACAACAACTTGCAGCGGCCAATTTGCCACAGCCACTCGCCATGGAACAACTCGCCGTAGGACAACTCGCCGTAGGACAACATGCCATGGGACAAGAATTACACTAATATCGAAAAAATAGTGGAATAGAATCATTAAAGAAAGGATGCCAAAGAAGGGACAAAATGTAATGTCAAATGACAAAAATTAAAATATTTTAAAAATTATTTTAAATGATTAAATTGAATAGTTGAATTGTCCTGCAGCGAGTTATCCTGTAGTGAGTTGGCCATGGTGAATTGTCCCGCGGTCAGTTGGCTGTGATGAGTTGGCCATGGTGAATTGACCTTGTTGAGTTGACCATGTCAATTTGGTTGTGAGTTGGCTGCAGCAAGTTGTCCTATTCCGTTTTAGACATGCTCCTATAAATTGCAAAGGGCATCTTTCAAAAGATTTGAAGAACTCTAGTAAATAGCAAGATGAGTTACTTGACTCTGTAGCTATGATTGAACTACATTTATCAGTATCTTTTTTTCTTTGATTTTATTTTTATTTTATTTTATTTACTTTTTATTGATCAAATTTCTATATCATCCATCTCACCTTTGTGACTCCGGGCGATTACATTGATTGCGGTTGCTGTAAATTGAAGTTCAGCTAACATTTGCAGAGTTACAAGCTATTTACATCAATATATAAAATAGTATCACTACTCTGGCCACAATTCTATCAAAACCAATGGGGGGGGGGAGTTTTTATTGAAGATAAGTTAAATGGCTAATATCTTTTCAGTGAAGGAAATTACTTGTAGAACTATGAAAAACGTGCCTTACAAAATATGTTTATTACAATATATGAAATCATTACAGTGAAATTCTATGCATGACATTCTATCTCTTCATGAGGACTAATGTAATATAAGAGTTGTTGGATTAAACCTGGGGAGGCCGTGGAAACCATAAGGTGCCTTTGAGTCAGTTTCTTTCCCAGGCAAACTATTAAGGATTGTTGTTAAGGAAATAAATAAAAATAGGTTTAATATAAGCTATCTTGAATAAAGTAAATCCATAATTTTTCCTCTTTCAGTGTCTTGCTATTTCCTTTCTGAGTATTTCCTAAAAATAATATTCATAACCTGAAATAATGTGTCTTGAATAATGAATAAGTCATTACTTTGTAAGCATTAGAAAATACCAAGCATTCTTTTCATGCATTGATAGTAAACTATGTTGTACATAGCATAACAGAAGGAAGAAATTAATGGAAAATGAAAATTAACTAATGTCCAGTATGATTTTTACTCTTGCTTGATCTTCTGTGAAATGAGAAAGTTTTAGTTGATATATTGATGCAATTTTTCATAATCATTCGTAAATAACTTCTTCATCTAATTTTTTTTTAAAGGTCGAACACTTTCTGATGTTAGTCATATTTCAAATATCAACCTAAATGACATTAATGAGACATCATGTAGTTCTGTTTTGAATAGCAGACTGGATCCTCCACCTGATGATCTGAACAACTTGAATATTAGTTCTTTGCAAGCACGTGAGGATTTACTGGATGGATGCCGAGTATGTTTAATAGTGCATGTTCAATTGTAAAATTACCCAGATAATTCTATAGATCTTTAGAATTTGTGGGATTATATTGTTCATGAATGTAACTAAGCAGAATCTGATGTTTCGTCTCTGAATAATGGGTTAAAAGCAGTTGTCCATTATTATTGCACCTCTGACTGAAAAAAGAAGGCAAAAGCCATTAATTACAAACTGTGTTAAATTATTTACTTTTTCCATGTAAATAACATATTTTATTGTAATATCTCATTGATAATATAGCAGACTAAAAAGGATTAATAGTAGGAACATACTGAAGAAATGCTGAATACTGTGTTGTGCTAGTACCAGAATAATATTTAGTAAATAGTAATGAACTATGACAGCCAGTGTAGTATAGTGGTTATAGAATCAGGATAGAAATGGGAGACTGAGTTATATTCTCTCCTGGATTACCTTGAACCAGTCACTTTCTCTCAGCCATAGGAAGGAGACAGTGACAAATCACTTTTGAAAAACATATGATTGAATGAAAGAAAAAAAAACTATGAACAATACCAAAATGCTATAGATAAAATTTGAATGATGAAAGGACGTGGAGTCAGTGCTCTCTGAGTTTGGTTGTTTGCTTGCAGACGCTTCATTACCTTACTGGGTGACATCCAGTGTTAGTGAGTGTGAGGTTTGCTCCCCATTTGTTTATTATTTGATAAATTTATAGGGCCACATAACTCATACATGGTGATTATGTGTAATAGCTTGCCCTGCCAGTGTTGATGGGGGCATGGTTTTCTTGCGAGTTTCTGAATTAGGGTATTGTTCAAATCTTGATTACAGGTAATGAATGAGTTTTTCTCGTGTCTTAAGACTGCTAGTTGGTGTTCATGGATGCATTCTGCTAGTGTTATGCCTGTTCTATTTAATGGCTATTACAGTCCTTATATTCTGTTATGACTCCTGTTTTGTTTTGTTTTTTGTTCTTGGGTTAGTTTTGTTCTTTTGGTTTGCTTAAGTTGATTCGGAGGGGTTTAATTGGTTTATGTTCTAAGGTGATGCTGTGTAGTTGTAATAGTCTGTTGGTTGTTTCTGAGATATATAGTAGTGTTATCCTTTATATAATAGATTTTGTTGATTTTCAAAAGTAAAACTTAAAATACAAAATTACACCAAAAAGGGGGGACAGCATGGAATATTTAAAAAATAACACACACAAAAACCAAAAATAACAGAAAAAAGTTACTTCCAACCCTCTTCAGTATGGATTCTTATGATAAAGTACTTTTTTTGTTTCAAATTAACAACAAATAAAAATTTAAATATGAAAGATACATCCCAAACAAACAATAAGATCAATATATAATATCATAATTTTTAATTCTAAATAAAACATATAATCCATAAATGCATCATAAGAATAATTCCACATATTTCTTAAATCAAATGTTTATAATACAACATCTTTGACTTTAAATTTCAATAAATAGATAAGAACATAAAGTGTATACCTATTAAACTTCAACAATATCCAATATTTCTATAACCATAACTAATCTAGTCATCAAATCTCAAAATCCGAATCCATTTTTTTCTTTATCAAGTAAAAAGTTCAAAAGTGGTCATGTAGAAAGAATATTTTATCTCTGATCAAAGCAGTGGATTTAACTGTCATTTCTCTTCTGTAAAAGGCTTTCCGTGATAACCATAGAGGAACTATCAGATACATTCTTACTTTTTATCTGTTCCAAACTCTCAGGATGGCAAGACTAACAAAGTGATTCTTAAAATCTATATTAACCTTAACTTTCTCATGCCATAAGCAGCCATGCCAGGTTATCTTTTCCTTAGCTTGTATTGGATGTGCTACGGTATGTAGAATGATCAGGCATTCTAAAAAGTTGCATGGGAAGATGTTTTATAGGTGGTCTGTTTCCTTTTTCTGATGTGTAGGTTGTTGCAATATGTTATATTCATCAGAATAATGTTCTTGTGAGGTTATGTTGTTATTTTGGTAATGGAGCACTTGCTTACTGTGTGTTTTTTGATAGACTTGTGTTTCTAATTTGCTGTTTCTTTCTGCTGTTTGATGAAAAGGATATTCAGAAATGATAATGGGATATTGTTTTCATGTTTCCTTGTGAATGTTATCCTTTAAATATGTTAATTTATTTTTTTTGTTACATCTCTAGTGTTTCTTTTTTATTATGTTACATACTTCTAGTTTTATGTGTGTGACTACTATAGTTTTTAGATGCTGTGTTATGGTCTCTGCTATGCATCCTCATGGGTGTTCCTCTGATTTGTTGGTATATTTGGCCATCAAATTGAAAGTAGGCAGTGACGAGGAGATTGATAGCATTCATGATTCTGGTATTTCGGTCTTAGTGAATTTGGCTACTTGGGTGTGTTATGCAATACTACTGTCATGACTCTCTGGTTAGTTCTGAATCTGTGACATCGAATGAAACCATAATTTTTTTATCCTATATTATCTGGAGGTAGTGTAGTGCGGAGTTGATAGAATATCCAATTCCTTCTGTGCAATGCCCAAATTCCTTTGTAAGTTCTTTGGCTACGTTGTATGTCGGGGTATTTGGTAATGATACAGTTAGACAAAGAGATATGTCAGGCTTCTATTTTTGGGTGTCCATAGAAGCTCAGGAGGATTTCATCCACCGCTTGATTTGACCTTTCTTGATTATAGTGTTCCTGGACGTTTGAGGGGATGTCCAGTTTTTTGTAATGGATTGTGTTTACTGAGATGAAAGTTTCTTTGTCCTCTAGTAATTCTTTGGCTTTTGTGTAAATTATGTTCTGTCTGGGATAGCCATGGTTTTGACCTTTGCAAGCAAACAACCAAGGACTCCATAGTTCATCCCTGAGTTACTCTTTTCTATTGAATATGGAGTATCTAATCTGTCTTAAATTAGTGTTCCTATTTTACTTCAGATATTTTTCTGCTTTTCTTTTAGATTTATCTTTGTGGCTTTAGTACCAGAAAATTAGATAAAATGAAAAAGCTGATTAACTCTGGTGGTGCTGTTCGTTTTAATCAACTAAATGAAGATGTGACACATGTTATTGTGGGAGATTGTGATGATGAATTAAAACAATTTTTGAAGAAGACAGAACGGAGGTATTGATAACTAGTTTTACATTTTACTGGCATTTTTTAAAATTAAAATATTGGTAAATATTTTTATCATTTTCTCAAAAGTAGTGACGATATTTATTAATTAAAAAAATCCGTTCTGCAATGAAATATTTAAAACCAAGGCTATGTGGATTGTGGAATATTTGAATCTTCAGTTTGTGTCTTTAAAGCAATTCAGTATATTTGAATTAGACTACCACATTGATTCAGTTGAACTCAAAAAGTGAATTTGATTTGAGAAAAATGGTGAATTGTTTCAATTCATTTTCCCAATACAATGTGAAAAATCAATTTTGAGATTTGATCAAATTGCTGTCAGAGCTCTGAATCAAACATTTGTTCAACTTTATTAAAAAAATATATAGAAAAATGGATTTGAAAAAATTAAAAGAATTAATGGATTGATTCTTCACAACTGTGATCTCCAGAGCTGTAAGCATCTGGTAATTTCTGTACAAACGTTAAGTACAGAAATATAGATTATGATTATAATGTCGTGATACAAATATTTTCCCTGGGAAAATTACTGCCTTAAATGCACACAGTTAACAATGCAAAAAAATTGTTTAGACACAACTTTGTGTTGTGTGTTCTTATGATGTTTAGAAACTTTGCTTTGGTTTCATAGGAGTTATAGAACCCTTTTCCTACATGGTATAATTCATAATTTTTTCAATAACAGGCCACATGCTGTGACAGTACAATGGCTTTTGGAATGCTTTAGAAAAGGTTATTTAATACCTGAAGAGCAATATGCCCCTGCAAGTTATCAACAAGTGAATACTCCATCTTCTGAACCACCTTTCATCTCCCCCAAAAATAACATGTTGAAGAAAGAACATGTGAATACTGTGACAGCTGCAGATACCGATGAAGATTTGCTATCTCAGTATGTTACTCATGATTCCAAAGTAGGTAAGGTACTAGTCCATGAAAAGCAGGGAGATGGACAGGGAAGCAGGCATGCAGGCAGGCAGACAGACAGACAGAATAAATAGATAATCTTTTTTATGTTCATTAACCATCAAATATACTCCACCATTATCTGTTCTCTTTGATTTCTTCTTAGGTACATATGCATGATAGTTATACTTACACTTGTCCTCTTTCTATTAGTAGCTCATAGTCTATGTACAACTGCCCTAATTGTCCTTAAATGTTTTCTATTTCTTGTACTCTATTTTTTCCTTTTGTATTTTGATAACCATACCTACTGCTCTTCAAGGATTTAATTTACAGCCTGCCATCTTTTTTGTGTAATTATCATCTATCATCTTGCTTCTTGGACCATGTTATTAGTTTTTTCTTATATGGAACTTTTTCCTTACTACCTACTAGGTTTTGTTTCTTCCATTCCCATCTCTTATTACAGAGCTCCTACATTTCTAAAAATTAAATGATGTATTCAAACCAATTGATTTGTCAATTCCCAGAGGTAATAGATTTCTTACATAGATGAATGTTTAACCATCTGTCAATATACAAAATGTGCCATAAATTCTTCCAGAATACTTCACTAATTTACTAAAAAAAGAAAATTAACATTTTATTTATCTTCTAGCTCATTTTGATGACCACAATATTGATCACACTGTATTTCAAGATGGAAAAGAGGTCACTGTTAGTTCCTTGGCAGAGTCTTCTTCAGTTGTTGAAGGAGCCTTATTCAGTGGAAGGAAGTTTCTCATTCTTGGTTTTGGCAAAGAAGATGAATCTTGCATAAGAGCTCTGATTGAAGAGAATGCTGGGAAGGTTCTGTTCCAGGAAAATAAAGTAATTGCTGATTATGCTGTGGTTCCTCTTCTGGGAAATAAGGTCACATCAACTGTAGGAGATGTGGTTACAAACACATGGCTGGTAAGAATAAGATGAAAAATAATGTTTCAAACGTATATTAAGCAAATAAAAAAACAATAGGCAATGGAAGTATTATTGATATTTTAAAATTACTTTTGAAGAATAATATACCTCCAAATTATATATAGGCTAAATTAGGATTTGTATCCAATTATGGTCTGATTTTATTCTTTCTACCTTAATCATTGAGGTTCTATAGCAAAAGATAATACAAATATTCACACATTAAGCCCCAAACACCAATAGAACACTGTTAATAAATTATTGGGTATTTGAATAAAATAGCTACAACAATTTTATCAGTTTTAATGCCTCAGTTTGTGTCAGTCATTAGAACTAAAATTAACTTTAGAGAGCCACTTTGATGTAGTAGTTAGGAGGTACAGGGTAGAACAGTGGTGGCGAACCTATGGCACGCGTGCCAGAGGCGGCACTCAGAGCCCTCTCTGTGGGCATGCGCACCATGCCCTGGAGATGGCAACCATCTCTCTTCAACCAGCCGCCCGCTAACTCGCCGAGGTCCCACATGGCTGGATGCATCCCAGCACCCATGTGCTCGCTGGCCTCTGTGTGCAGGGGCCGATGGTGTCAGGCAGCAGCCGTCCCGGCCCCTGCCTCACCTTGCCCTGTGACAATGGCACCCCCACCCTGCCTCGCCTTGCCTCGCCTCACCCCTCAGGACGAGCCTCCTGCCCACCGTCCCACCTGCCAGAGACTCCCTGGATCTCCCCCAACCCTGCCCAGGCCCCACAGGCGTCCCTCCCCATGAGCAACATTGAGGTGATCACGCCCACCTTGGCCACACCCACCCAATCTGCCATGATCACCATAGCAACGCCCATCCAGTAGGCCACGCCCACCTGGCACCCAGCGATAAATAAGTGGGTTTTGGGTTGCAGTTTGGGCACTCGGTCTCTAAAAGGTTCGCCATCACTGGGGTAGAATCTAGGAGACTAAATTCTACTTTCACTTGGTAACTTTGGGCCAGTCATTCTCTCTTAGCCCTGGAATTTACTTTTGAAAATGTTGCCAAGACAACTGCTGGGACTTGTTTAGAGAGTTACCAGGAATCAGCACTGATTTGAAGACACAAAATTTAATATAATGCTAACTTTAATTCATAAAATATTTGCAATATCATTTGTATTTAAAAATAAGAGTTTAAGAAAGCATTGTTGTGTGCCATTTGTATGCCATTTGATCCTTTATTGTGTCAGACTCTTGTATTACTATAGTTGAAAGCTTTTCTAAGTTTAATGTCTTCTTGTGTCATTATCTAAGGTGATGTGTATAGAACAACGGACCCTGATAGATCCTCAATCAAGTCCACTTTTCATCCCAGTGCCAATGAAGGAAGGAGCCACCCCATTACAGCATTGTGTGTTGTCTTTCAGTCAGTTTAGTGGAGCAGAGAGAGAATTTTTAATATATTTGGCAAGTCAGCTTGGGGCAAGGTCTGTACACCATTACTTTTTAAAATGTTCTGGCACCCTATAATATTAAACCTCTGTCATATTAAAAGAAAAAGAAGAAAATGTATATGCTTTTCCAAAAAGGCTAGTAATATATATTACTATCAAACTATTAAAAAAGATTGTTCATGGTCTTGTATTTATTTTTGCAAAAATTAGTTAAGGTCTTTTTCAGAAGATAAAACATTCTTTGCTAGTTTTTTCTTTTTAAGAATAATATTGATACTTATGGAAAAAAGAATTTTTAAATGTCTTTTTAGAGTTCAGGAATTCTTTGTGAGAAGAGCCAACCCAAAGAAAGGAATGCTTGTCAGCACTCATCTGGTGCTAAAAGAGCCAGATGGTTCTAAATATGAAGCAGCAAAGAAGTGGAATCTTCCTGCCGTTACTATGGCTTGGCTATTGGAGTCCGCTAGGATGGGAAAAAAGGCTGCTGAAAGCAAATTCCTGATTGAGAATATAGGCAACAAAGGTTAGTTGGAATGGAGCTGCATCTGTGTGTGTGCTGAGTAGTGCATATCTATGTAAACAATAGAAGCATTCATATATTCCCTCAGACACCCCATCCATAAGCATTACATTTTAAAGAAAAATAACATGTAAATATTTTTGATTGCTAGATTGCACTGATGTTGCACTAGATCAGGATGCTATTAATAATTGGAAGAGTCTTGGAAAAAATGCAGTTGGCCATTCTTTCTCTTTTGATAGAAGTATCATTTGTATGTTTTGGCTCCACACAATAAACATGTATGAGACATCTCCCTGGTGCCACTCTGCACAATTTTCACCAGTGTTCTTTCCTCACTCGTGAAATAAATACAGTGATATACCACTTTAAATCTGTCACATTGTTCCTAAATGCTCAAAGTCATTCAATAAGTGTTGCAGTTGAATGACATTTGGCCCTTTAATCCAATGCTTTTTACAACAGGATGCCTCGATTAGTTTACTCAAAGGTGGAACTGGAGATAAACATAATCATGCAAACATTTAAAGGTTGTTACCTGCCATGAAGCAGTGATTTCATTCTTGACTTGCCTGTCCCATTTGAATTTTCTGTTTATAATTATATAGATTGTATAATATTTGCTACCATTGATGAAACAATATGTTGGTATACTAGCATGTTATAAAAATGTATTAGCTAAAGAATATGTCTTTTTAGCACTCTGGGAACATAGTATTCACTTTTAAAATTGAAAGGGCGAACTTACAACTCTATCATTTATTTTGTTATATTTACTGAACATAATAAAGAACAACCAAGGTAATTTTTATTAAGGATCACTGCAAATTGTAGCATAGAATACAACATTTTTGTCTTATTATTTATTGTAATGAAATATGAAATACATAGTAAAAATATTTTTAAATTATGCTTTAATTTTTTTTAAGATAAACAAAAGAACCTTACAAATTCTACAGAAGAAATGGAGACAAGTACTGCATCTTCAAATACACCTGATCATCCAAGTAGTGTCCTTGAAACTGGAAAGATAACAACAGTGACACCCCTGGATGTGAATCGTTTCCAAAGTAAAGCTTTCCAAAGTGTTATTTCACAACATATTGGTAAAAATCCTAGCCCTCCAATTGGAAGCAAAGTAGTACAGAAGGAACCATCTCTGCATCTGGACACACCATCTAAATTTTTATCTAAAGACAAACTCTTTAAACCTTCTTTTGATGTCAAGGTAAATACTTTGAAAATCTTGTTCATGTTGTAAATATTTGAGAAAATAGTTAACTGTGGCTGTTATGATGTAACTATCAATAAGTATGAATTTGTTAGTTCTAATTTTGCTTTTAATTTCAAAGCAAATGCTTAGTTTTAATATTAGGTTACTTTTTATATCTGTAGTTATTTATTTTACTTGAATGAATATTTTATAATATGGGTAGTTTATTTTTCAAGTTTGTATTATAACATGACATTGATGTGATCATGTTGTACATAAGAGTTGATAAAAGTTGTCCTTTATATAGAAAATTAATAATATGTTCTAAAGTGTGTGTGTTTGTTGGTTATGAGCAGAATTAGAATATATTCTTCAATTTAGCATACTGGCAAGGGCTATATAACTGATTTGCTTTTCTCCTCCCTCTGGCAAGAAAGTTTGTTTCATTTGTACTTCAACTTTTATGCTTTCCTTTTATGTTAGAAAAGCTCCAAATGGGGTTGATCCAAAATTTGTGCTCCCTTGTTTCATATACTTAATTCATTGCTTCCAGAAATGAGTATGTAGTAAATGATGTGATGAATCCCAGTCTTCTCTTAACTTCCAGTCAACTAATTTGTTTATACCTGGGAAGTTGGTAAATTCTCTGGACCTCACTGGCTTTGAAGTGCTATAGTGAAACATTTCAATTATTTTGCAATTTCTATTTGAAATCATTAGATTTCTTAATGAAATTAAGAATGAATTTTAATTGAATGTATTCTAACAAAATCTGTCTTTAATTCAATCTATTTTTCTTGTTGCAAAAATAATGATCATAGTTTTTTTATCAGTTTATTTTATAAAAATGTCCATCAACTATTGCCTCAAATCACATTTTAATTATACATTCAATATTATAAATCATCACCAGAACACTAATGGTATGCAGAATTTTACATAAACCCTAGCATAAGTTCCATCATTTCTCTAGTATCAACAGAAGTCAGAAATGCCTTGAAACAGCCATGTTGAGCTTTTAAGCAGCTGTGGCTACTTCATGCCATGTTCTTAATTTAAGCATTCGTTTAGTGACTGTTCAGAGTTATAACGGCACTAAAAAAGTGGTTTATGACCACTTTTCACACTTAACAACAGTTGCAGTATCTCCATGGTCACATGATCAAACTTCGGACGCTTGGCAACTGGCATGTATTTATGATGGTTGCAGTGTCCCGGGGTTATGTGATCACCTTTTGTGACCCTCTGATAAGCAAAGTCAATGGGGAAGCCAGATTAACTTAACAATTGTGTTACTAACTTAACAACTGCAATGATCCACCTAACAACTGTAGCAAGAAAGATTGTAAAATGGGGTGAAACTCACTTAACAATTATCTTGCTTAGCAACAGAAATTTTGGGCTCTGTTGTGATCATAATTTGAGGACAACCAATAGCTCTCTACTGTAATTGAGTACATTTCATCACAATTTATGATGTAGGAAATTAGAATAATTTGATAATATTTACCTATTTTGAAGCAATTACATAATTTTTCAATATCCTTGAGGGCTTATAACTTAATAGGAGCTCTTGTTCTAAATTGAATGATGACTTTCCTTATTCTTGTAGGTAGCTTAGTTTGTCAATAAAACTTAACAGATTTTATTTTGGTCTGGATAAAAACTAACCTTTGTTAAATCTTATAATATAAAAGCTTCTGTGATATGACTTGATTGGATATTTTACATAATTAGAAGAATAAAACAAAACTTTTATTTATTAGATTAGTTTATGAGAAACATTTTGAAAATACAATCATTAATGCTTTTTTATTATTATTCCTATCCTCTAGGATGCTTTGGCAGCTTTGGAAACTCCAGGTGGTCCTAATCAGGGAAACACAAATCTAAGTACTCCTCTTTCAGAAGTCATTGGCAGGAACTTAAAACTAGCTTTGGCCAACAGCGCACGTCAAACCATTGCTCTCACTGCCAGTCCGCAGCTAAAAGCTCCAGGTTGGCAAAGGGTGAGCTTAGCATTTAGTTTCATGATATAGATATGCAGTCAGTTAGTGGAAATGTTCTTGGCAAATTGTTATCTCCTGAAGTGGCATTCATTTTATTGTGGAAGTATATAATATAATTATATATATATATATATATATATTATATTTTATTAAGAATTTTCATTACACTATTAAATATTAATAAAAACTAAACTTGGAGAAAGAGAATGGAAAGAAAGAATAAATAAATAGGCTATAATACATAAAAAAAGAAATATATAAAGAAGTGATTCAAACCTTCATTAAAACAAATAGAAAAGCAAATTATTACTCTTCAAACCCTACAAGGTTACACAAATATATCTTCATCTCATATATCATCCCTTATACATAAACAAATCCATAAGATATTAGCCTTTGAATCCCCAGATCAGCAAAAAATCTATAAAGGATTACTGGAAAATTGCAACAAATATTTTTAAACAAAGAAGTTCACAAATCCTAATTTTACAATACTTCTAGCAGTCTTAATCTTTAATTCAGTCAAATATTGTTATAAGATTTGATTTCAATTCTTCTTTATCCCATCACACAGATATCTTCAAGGCTTTAACAAGCCTCTTGTAAATCTAATAAGAATTTTTTCCAAGTCATTCTCTTGGTTTCTCATTTGTGGTTCCTATTATTTGTATTTTAATTTTTTTAAACTTCAGACTCTTTCTTTTATATATCCAGTAAAGCAAATCATTTAAAATCATTCTCTTGTCCTGTCATCTTTATTTTATCTTATCAGATAAACATTGTTCCACATATGTCTTTCCTTCATTATCTCATTCTTTTACATATATATATTCATAGAAGCAAACATTGTTATTGATAGTGTTGCTATTGTAGTTATTAATTTTTGGCTTCATTCTTCAAAGTTTTTTTAATAGTTTGGATTTCATAATTTTCAATTTCACTCTGTAAATCCTAGTGTTAATCGACATCAGATTTCATATTTTTTTCTGCTTAAAATCTCCCCTCTAGTGCCTAATTTCTAAATCATCACCTATCTTTTGTTATGACTTGCAATTGCCAGTATAATCAAAATAAATTGTTTCCCCTCAAGTTTTTTTATAATTAGTTCCAAAATCTTATAGTAAAAGTCTTCCAAATTTATCTGGCTCCTTAATCCATTTATAACTTTCTTAGATCAAAATCTTATTTAGCTTTTTGCTCTTTACTTCAAACCCTTTAAGTCAGGGGTTCCCAACTGGGGCTGTGATATGATATTCCATGGGGTGCAAAAACTTGGTTTTTCAAAATTATAGTGTATATGCATAATTCGTTGCCGTTATTTCGAACTTTTGTAAGGGTTGCGAAAGTATATCAGAAGCGTTCTAGGGATGCGGGGTATAGAAAAGGTTGGGAGCCAGTACTTTAAGTTATAAGCTTGTAATCAATTTTTCTTTTGTTTGGAGTTCTTAAACCTGTCATTGTGAATTGTCTCTAATTTAAACTTGGAATATGGGAAGTGACCTTGGGGAAGACGGGAAAGGGGTGCTGCCTGGGACACAATCAGACAAGAGAAGGATCCCCAATGGCTCAATGGTCAGCTGCTTAGGAAGGACCCACCCTAAGGGGTCAAACAGTTAAAATTGGCAGTGGGAAATTTTGTGCTTTCAGCCCTACAAGTCTGTGAATGCAGCTTTACAATAAAATAGCTCATCTAGTTGTCTATCCTGTCTGGTTTACCTAGAATGGCTCATATAGGTTTAGAATAACTAATGGGCAATTTTTGAAGAGAATTAGAAAATGAGATTTGTGAACTTAGTGTCCTTTAAAAGGCTCTGCCACAGGTATGAGCAAAATGGCTGATTCCATTGTCTTCCAGTACTCAGAAATCATGGAAAATCACTATTCTGTAGTCTTACGAGGAGCAACTGTCTGGAGGACATATTGTATGGGTGATCTCCCATCCTTTTATTATTTGGAGAGGATTCTACTCACCGGTTCCTTAGTTTTTGCTGTGGTTATCAGCTCTGCTTTTGCAGAACTATTTTCAATTTGCCATATCTTCACTGGAAATCTCAGAAGTAAGCATATCTGAACTGGGAGAAGAAAAATATAATTAGTGTTATGAAGGCTTTCTTAACTTTGTGCTGGCCTGCTTGAGCTTCAGCTTTCATAATTCCACATTTTTGGACATATTTCTGAAAGTGTGTTGGAGAAGTGTAAATTTTCACACCTTTGGATCATTACAATCATTGAGTCATGTAGGGCAGGTTTTTTAAAAACCTGCCCTACATCATTATATGAACTGAGTGGGCAACCATTATGTATGCTTCCGTGATCTGATGATATAATATCACTTTGCAAGGACGTTTAAAAATAAAACTAAGGGTGTTTTTTTAGCCTTAATTATACCTGTAGTATTGAAATTAGCTTAATTATGAAAAACAAGGCAGTTCTTGATAGGAATTCTGAAAATTAGTGGAGGATGCTCTTGAGTCTGGACATTTTGAAAAAAAGTATATGTGAACCAGATAGTATACGATTTTACATTTTGATGAGTAATTTAGGAATGAAACCTTTCCGTTCTGATGGTCCGGTTCATTTCACTGCTAGCCTTCTTAAGAGTAGCCTTCCTCAGGAGGGGTTTCCTCTGTCACCTAAAAGAAGAATTTAGAGTAAGTGATAGAGTAAGTGATACCACTGGTACAAGACTTGAATGTTATTCTTCCTCTAATGATGCCATACAGTTCGTCTGAGGGCAGTGTTGTAATAGCTAGCAGTGCCATTTTTGTTTGGAGATACCTTTTTTTAAACTTAACACAGGGGTAGGCAACCTTGGCTCTTTTATGACTCATGGACTTCAACTCCCAGAATTCTGGGAGTTGAAGTCCACAAGTCATAAAAGAGCCAAGGTTGCCTACCTCTGACTTAGCACAATGGAGCTATTTTATTGAAAGAAATAATTAAATGAATCTCCCCTTTACTTCCTTTAAATATTAACTTTTTAAAATACAGAGTTGTGTAAACAATTGAATGCTGGAAACTTGAAATGTTGAAAACTCAAATGTTCAAATATTTTTCCTAACTTGAACAGGAAGAAGAATCAAAACCTTTAGTGAATGTTGTCATCTGTGTGAGTAAAAAGCTGAGTAAAAAGCAGAGTGAATTAAATGCTATTGCTGCATCTCTTGGAGCTGATTACAGGTATATAATAATAATAATAATAATAATAATAATAATAATAATAATAATAACAACAACAACAACAACAACAACAACAACAACAATATAGTTGGAAGGTATCTTGGAGTTCATCTAGTCCAACCCCCTGCTCAGGCAGGAAACCCTATACCATTTCAGACAAATGGCTGTCCAGTCTCTTTTTAAAAATGTCCAGCTTCTGGAGGCAGGTTGTTCCACTGATTAATTGTTCTAACTGTCAGGAAATGTCTCCTTAGTTCTAGGTTCCTTCTCTCTTTGGTTAGTTTCCATCCGTTGCTTCTTGTCTTGCCTTCAGGTGCTTTGGAGAATAGCTTGACTCCCTCTTCTTTATGGCAACCCCTGAGATATTGAAACATTGCTACATGCAGCTGTAAGCTAAATAAATAGCAATATAGTCATTGTTAGAATGACTATAGATTTAAATTTTAATAGCTCTAGAAGTTCAAATGGACTATATGATATTGTAATTCATTTTACATAATCTTTAATGATGGTGAAGAAAATTAAACATGAAAATATTGGAATTATATAATATTTTATAATATTGCTGAATATACATTAATATTAGTATACTAATCAAATACTAACATTTTTTCATATTATGGAATTACATTCAATTTTACATTAGATCCTCCTTGAACAGTGGTCCTAAAAAAATATCTAGAATTTATTTAAATTTATTGTAATCTTCCTCTCTTGTTGGCTTACAAAATATACAAACAATAAAAGTCTGGCAACCCAGACTAAAGTAACAATAAAAATAGCAAACCATACCACACTGGGATCTTATGGGCTTTCAGAACTGTCTTTGCCTCTCATACAAAAAATGTATGCTTCTTTTGTATATGTGATTTGGAGAATATCCACTCTGCTTAAACATACAGGGCAGGAAATAAGAATTTGAATTGTTAAGGAGTGTATGGATTTTTTTTCTACATGCATCAGAATATTATTTTAAAAACTTTCAATAGATGTAAATAGGTAATAGCCAAATTTATTATAACAGAAATATTCACTATCTAGGTGAATTCTGCTATGTGCACATTAATTCTCTCCTTCTGAATTAGCAATTATTTAACAAATATTGATTGTGTGCATTTATTCTAGGTGGTGTTTTGATGAAACTGTAACACATTTCATCTACCAAGGAAGGCAGAATGATAACAGCCGGGAATACAAATCTGCTAAAGAAAGAGGCATATACATTGTTTCAGAGCATTGGCTCTTGGAGGTAGGGATAGCCTTTCTTTCTGATGCTAAAGTGAAGAAAATCTTTATTTTGTTTATTTATTATTAATTATTAAATTTTATGCTTTCTATCTCACCGATACAGCAACTCTGGGCAGCCTAAATATAGTAAAAAGGTAATACAGAGCAGTTAAAATTAAAGATTAAACCAAGAGGATGGGCAGCATGGGGATCTTCTTTCAGAGGCGCTTTTAGACTCTGAAATTCTTTGGCAGACAAGATCGGCAGTTGGCCTCTTCCTTTGGCATGAGTGGGATGGCTAATCCCATTGGGTGAGACAGCTCTTCAGATACCTGAACCCATACTATAAAGGGCTTTAAAAGTAATGACCAACACCTTGAATCGGACCTGGAAGCAAATTGGCAACTAGTGCAGGTGACATAACAGCAAGGGGAAGGGCCTCTAGAACTTCCGTGCCACTGCATTCTGTACCAGTTATAACTTCTGAATACTCTTCAAGGGTAGCCCCATGTAGAGCATGTTGCAGTAATCCAACTGAAAGGTGAACAGGGCATGGGTGACTGCATGCAGGGCCTCACAATGCAGGAATGGGCTCAACTGTGACAGAATATGAAGTTGTGCAAAGACTCTCCTGGCCACAAATGCCAACTGCCCTTCGAGCAGGTGTTGTGAGTCTAAGAGAACCCCCCAGTGCAACCCCATCCAGAATTAAAGATGATAAACTCCCAGATCTTTTGAATCCACAGTTATGTAGACACCCATAGCCTCTGAGCACTGCAAGAGAGCAGCTGCAGCATCACTTGGGTCACCATAGATGGAGATGTAAAGTTGACTTAAATTAGCATATTAATGATACCTCATCCCATGATACTGGATGAACCCATTCAATGGTTTCAGATTGATGTTAAAAAGGAGACGAGAGAGAGAGAGAGAGAAAACCAAGCCCCCAGCATACCACAAAGAAGTGGCTGTGGACTGGATCTCTTGCTCACTGTTAACACCAATTGGGACCAGCCCTGAAGAAAGACCCTCTAGAATTACAGTGCAACCATTTTTTCCATCACTTCCCTAAAAAGAAATTGTCCAGGCAGGTAGGAACCTAAGAAGGTTTCTTGAGAACAAGTTGATGAAAAGTTAAATTGAGGTTTTTATTAGCAGAAAGGATAGAGATAAGAGATATGGTTTTATCTCAGTTTATTATTTGCCTCCTTCTCCTTCTACTATAGAAGGTTTGCAGAGTATGCACTTGAGGTTCAGAGGAAAGACTGCAAGCAGGAAAGGGATGGTTTTGGAAATACTTTCATCTGCAAAGTTCTGCCAGATCAGAGAAGTCTTTAAAAAAATTGAATATAAAATAAGATAGCTGACATTTTGTGTGTAATTTGCATGTATTTCTGAACTAGGCATATGTTTTATACATGCTGCATTGCAGTTGCAGACTATGAATATAAAAATACAATGTTTTTTTAATCTGGCTCAGGAGAAAAAGGTCCTCTGAACAGTTTCTCTATATTCTCTTCTTGCAGAAATATATTTTTAGCCCCATTGTGTATAAAATGTTATCATGTATATGTGGAAAGTTAAGATTTATGTGACATTCTTTAATTTGCTGTAACGTTTTCTTACTTCCTTAAGGAAAGAGATATAGACTTTCACAGAGCCCTGTTATTTTTTACTTTTATACTCCATCATCTGATAAGCAACTATTGTTTGTCAGAATAAATCCTAAATTCTGTAGATTTTTCTATTATTCAGTGCAATTGCTATTTATAGTAAATGTTATGGTGTTTGGGGATTTCCAGGTAAATACTTTGCACACAACCTTTGCTTTGTTGCTGTTCTCCTAATATATCTAATGAAACACTGTTCTAAAAAGATAAAAATAGATGCTGTTAAGTGAGAAATGAAGTTTCTGAATCAAAGGATGTTTTGTCTTTGAGTATTATACAGTACAAAAACTTGGTTTTGAAGGGTAGTACACACTTGTTTAAATTAATATTTTAAAAATAAATCTATTGCAAAAATATCTCAGGGACTGGAGTCTAGTTGAATCTTTACTAATAGAGAAGCAAGTGAAGCAAAAATGATCTAAGATCTCATTCTAATTCCCCAGCACATCTTTTTTTTCCGTCCTCTTCTTCTCTAATCAGTGGACTGCTAGGGAAGGGTATAATTTGCACAGATAAAATTAGGCCAGAAGCCACATGTTGTCACTTCCAAAGGGGGGAAAAAAATCTCTTTTTCACTGTTCTTTGTTTTAAAGAGCCATACAGTACGACTTCTTTATATGTCTGCTTATTTTTATGTCCCTTTTAAAGAAAAGGCCATAATTTGCCCATCCCAATTCCAAGTATTTTGTTACTTGTTTTACTTTTATTCTAGACATCTTATAATATGATAGCTGTGAGTTTCAGAAAAGGTAAAGGAGCAAGGTTCATAATGGTGGGAATTGTGAGAAGCCACTGATTAATCTGAGACCTTAAACGTGACAGAAGTAAAAAAAAAAAAAGTTTCACTTGGGTTGGAATTGCAGAATAGTGACTTAAATTACCTGCACTGGAAACAGTTTATCTTCTGTATTTAAATGAAGGAATTCCGTGTTCCTTGTTCAGCAGTAGCTGCGGTGGCAGCAACAGTAGCAATAGTATAATGGAGATGATGATGTCGCAAAATTAAGGTCTTAATATTTTTTTACTTTTGCTTACTTTCCTTCCTCCAAAAGATAAAATTGGAAAGATGAGATCAGAACTGAAATAAATTGTTTCTTCTTGCATTTCAACATTTTTGGGCTGCCTCTTATTTTTTCTAATCTCATGCATCTGATGAAATGAGCTTTGATTGGTAATTATCTAGGTCACTAAGTAATTCATCTTTACTGGGGCTTTCCATTGGGAAACAAAGTAATCTTTTGTTTATTATCTATTAGGCAGGAAAGAAGAAAAAAATTATTAATATTAACATTCATTTATGCATTTTTCAAAAGTGGTGGCATTAATCTCTTTTTAACTGACCTTTACTTTCTTCCCAGAGTGCACAAGAATACAAACGATTAGCTGAATCTCTTTATCCTCATACATATAATCCTAAAATGAGTTTGAATATTAGTGGTGTGGAAGATGACAGGTTCTCACAAAGGCTTGACACTGTTGGAAAAGACGGGAAAAACAACAAAGTATGTTTTTTGTTCAGTCTATTCTTCCATTCCGTTTGCTAATATTAATCTGTATGTATAAATAACAATAATGGTTTTCTGATTTGTTTTCACTCATATTAGTTCTAAAATACCATATTAAACTTTAAGAACGTTGCTTGCTATAGTATAACAGAAGTAATCAGAATATTATTATTAAAATTAATCTTAATTTTTAAATAGTTTAAAATTTTATACTTCAGCAATGCTTTGCATACAGAACATTTTGGGTTCAAGCTCTATCATCCTAACTAGGGTTGAGCAAATAAAATGTTTCTAAATCCTGGAGCTGGTAAACATATATTACTAGTCTATAATCTGTTTTTAAGTTAGAAGTTATGTGTATACACACACATACACACACTCACTTTGCTGTAGTTCTATAAAAAACCTGTTTCTATTTCAATATTTGTGATGCCTATATTGTGTTTTATTTGAGGTTTTATCCATGCCTTTTTATATAGTTTTTTTTAATACTAATTTGTTTTGTTATTCAATTATTTCAGAATAATTCACTGGATGATGATACAAAAAAAGTTATTGTTGATCAGATAAATGAGGTTGGACAAAAGGAGCATGAACCAAAAGGAGGTAACCTTTTGTGTATTTGGCCCCCATCACTAGGTATTTTAGAATTTTTCATTGAGTTTTGAAATGTTTTAGAATGTGGAATGGGAAAAGTGTGACATAAAAAGGGATCTGTTATAGCTTTTATTATATGATAAAGTAGACCACAACCTACTACTTGATAAGATAGAAAAATGTGGGTTAGACAGCATCACCACCAGATGGATTCATAGCTGGCTGACTGGCCATACTCACCATGTGGTCCTCAATGGAACCGCATCTACATGGAGGGAAGTGTGTAGTGGGGTGCCCCAGGACTCTGTTCTGGGCCCAGTGCTCTTCAACATCTTCATCAATGATTTGGAGGAGATAGATGGGGAATTCATCAAATTTGCAGATGACACCAAGCTGGCAGGAATAGTCAATGTTCCAGCAGATAGGCTTAAGATAGAGAAAGATCTTGACAGATTTGAACATTGGGCGCTATCTAACAAAATGAAATTCAATGGTGAAAAAAGTAAGGTTCTACATTTAGACAAGAAAAACCAAATGCACAAGTATAGTAGGTACCTTGCTCAATAGTAGTAACTGTGAGAGGGATCTCAGAATCCTAGTGGACAATCACTTAAATATGAGCCAGCAGCCTTCTGCAGCTGCCAAAAAAGCCAACAGAGTGTTAGGCTGCATTAACAGAGGGATAGAATTAAGATCATGTGAAATGTTAATACCAGTTTATAACACCTTGATAAGGCCACACTTGGAATACTGCATCCAGTTTTGGTCACCATGATGTAAAAAAGATGTTGAGACTCTAGAAAGAGTACAGAGAAGAGCAACAAAGATGATTACGGGACTAGAGACTAAAACATATAAGGAATGGTTGCTGGAATTGGGCATGTCTAGTTTAACGAAGAGAAGGACGAGGGGGGACATGATAGCAGTGTTCCAATATCTCAGGGGTATCCACAAAAGAAGAGGGAGTCAAGCTATTCTCCAAAGCACCTGAAGGCAGGACAAGAAGCAACGGATGGAAACTAATCAAAGAAAGAAACAACCTAGAACTAAGGAGAAATTTCCTGACAGTTAGAACAATTAACCAGTGGAAGTGGAACAACCTGCCTCCAGAAGCGGTGAATGCTCCAACACTGAAAGTTTTTAAAAAGAGACTGGATAGCCATTTGTCTGAAATGGTATAGGGTTTCCTGCCTGAGCAGGGGGTTGGACTAGATGGCTTCCAAGATCACTTCAAACATTATTGTTATTATTATTATTTACAGTATTTATTAAGCCACAGATGTGTTTTGATTGTAATAGTTTCTTTATTGATTCTTCTTTTATATGTAAGTTTTAACACAGACATTGGAAATGAGGGAAAACTTTCAGAAGCAACTGCAAGAAATCATGACTGCCACATCATTAGCAAAGTTGCAAGGACAAAGGAACTCCTTATCTAGGAATGGTTTTGAGAATTCTCCAACAACTCCAGATGGACCCCGTTCTGTTCGTAATGGCCGCAGTAGAATCTTGGAAGCTTTAAGGTAGCTACTAGCCAGAATGTCTTAAGATTTCAGGGCTGTAATCTTAGGAAAACTGCTCAGAACAGCTTAAGTTATGTCCTCATTTTTTCCTAACACTTGCTGCATATCTTCATGTCTCAGGCAGTCACGTCATGGAGCAACTGATGTCAATACTGAGCCATCCCAGAATGAACAGATAATTTGGGATGACCCTACGGCAAGAGAGGAGAGAGCAAGGCTTGCCAGTAACTTGCAGTGGCCTAACAGTCCTTCACAGTATTCAGAACAAGTTCAAACTACTGCAGTGACCCCAGGAGAACTTTCACTTAGAAAGTCTGTAAGTGATACAGAAATTGTTGAAATGGGTAAGTTGCAGCATAAATGGCAGAATGGCATTTCAGCATTTGAGTTGCAATTTCATTATCACACGAGAATCTGTACGTAGTTAAATCTTTTGCACATTTTAGCCGTCATTTTTTATTTGTGACATGGAAGATATCTGGGCTGAATTAGGTATGTTACTGTCATTTCATGCTTGACTTCTTGTGGACCTTCTAAAATTTATGTACAAAAGCAAAGAGTCACATAGTGAAGGTTGCCTGAATTATTTCTTCTTATTTTGTAAATGAGCACTTTAAATGCTTTATTCTTTTTAATAAATCTCTGCATAGATGGTAATTTTTGTTATTTTTATGTTTTTATAGTCTTAATGAATTTGAAATCTTTTCTCATGCAAAATGTTTGGATTGAGAAATTTGTATTTAGACTGAAATAGAATTTAGAACATATGTTTGTGGCATGAGTTTGGATTAACCTGATGTTCATCTTATATGTAATTGAGTTTATATTGTATATATTGTTATTCCATGTGTAAATAAAGCTTAGATTGTAGCCTTAATCATGTTTATTCAGAAGAAAATCCCATTTATGTTGAAATAGTTACCTACAATTAAGTAGGTAACTGTCTTGGAGTATAGGAAAGGAGTATTTATGCTCCTGTTTGACTGGTCCATTTTTACTTGCTTTTACTCAGTAAACTATTCAATTTCATCAAATATGAAAAATCATGCACTAATATTTTTCTGATTTAAGGGATTAATGATTCAACGAAAATTGATTCAGTTGAGGTCGCAAATCTTCTGATTAGAAATCCAGAAACACCAATAAAAGAAGATCATCTGATCCCAACTCCATTGGCTCCTGCTATTGCTTTTCCATTGGCAAATCCTCCTGTTGCTCCCCAGCCAAAAGGAGATGTATGTTCTAGCATGGTAAATGGATACATAGAGTAACACATAAATTGAGAAATTGTATCTCTAGTTTGACGTGATCTTAGATTTTGCGATAATAGATGTACAAGACAGGAAAAAAAATGTTCATTTCAGTTGTTTCCCAGCATTTACTTTCAATCTTGTAATTTCTTCTACTTGTTAAAGAGTAATGAAGATATCGAAATCAAACAGGAAGTAAACTAAAAATAATGGGTGTTGCTTCACAGAATTTGAACTGGCTATGAATTTAGTTCTCTCATTCTCCAATGATACAATTTGCTGAAATCTTTACGGAAAATCACCTGGAAGACAGTTGGACAGGCTTTTCAATCAAATTGATTAGTTTAAATTCTCTTCTTACCCTGCCAGAAATCCTTTTCCTTGATTAAAATTTAGTTGAAAGCCTGGGGAAAGTAAAATCCTGCCAATGCTGCAAAGTCCAAAGGTTAAGTTAAACATCAAAATTCCTAATAAATATTCACAGTAGCTAAGTCTAATATTATATTTGATTGCAATTGGCTATTTCTGACTTTATTCTTCTTGATGAAGAAACTAGAAATTGGAATTGAACTGGTCATCTTTAGTAATATAGAGAGAGGTAATACCTATGTGGATGCCTTTAGAATGACCTAGAGGGGGGGAAAAATCCTACTCTTCTCCATAGGCGCAGGCCATAATCTTGATTTCAAATGTATGCACAAATTTTACTAATTCAAATAAATAATTTCCAAAATATAATTCTGTTAATCTGTTGTATGAAAAACAATAGTCTAGTAGGACGTACACATCTAACAAATGATTAGATTGTAAACTTTTATTTTGCAAGGCTTATGAGCCATAAAACTGTTTTGATTTAATGTGTACTTGTGTTTTAATACTCTTTTATAATAATAATAATAATAATAACAACAACAACAACAACAGTCCTGGTTAGGAAGACCAAAAAATAATGACATTGAATCATTAACAGATTCTATCTATCAAGGAAAATGTGTAGGCATGGAATGTTGCAAGTATATTAGATGGGAAGAATATCTGAAGGACAGTGAAGAAGATGCATTGAAATTAGTATACCAGGAAGGCTTACTGACTATTGGAGAGACCAAACTGGCCTACAAGAAAGACCAAATGAAGAACAGAATGGAAGCATGGAAATACAAAGCATTACATGGCCAATACAGAAAAAAAACCCAGAGAAAACAGATATTAACAACACTTACCAATGGCTAAGAGCAGGAAAGTTGAAGAAAAGACAAAGCAGCTAATTCTGGCTGCACGAGACCAAGTCTAAATAACAAATGCATATTGTCAATAAAAAAGATAAAAAAGTCTGGCTAGTAGACATGGCAGTACCTGGAGACAGCAGAAGAGAAGAGAAAGAATTTGAGAAAAATCACAAAATACAAAGACCTGCAAATAGAAATAGAATGACTATGGCAGAAGTAAGCAAAGGTAATGCCAATAGTAATAAGTGCCTTGGGTGCAATCCCAAAACAACTGGACCACCACTTGAGCACCATTGGCATTGACAAATTCACCATCAGTCAATTGCAAAAGGCGGCTTTACTCGAAACGGCTGCCATCCTGCAACGATATCTATAACACCATCAAACATCCGCATCTGCCTATCTTAGGTCCTTGGAAAGGACTCGATAGGTAGACCATAGTGCCAAATCCAGTCTGAACATCTGTCTGACTGTGCAATGAACAACAACACTAATAATAACAATCATTATTAAATACTAAATTGTGGCAGTGTAATTACAGTAATAAATGGCAATGTAGTAGCACTGAAATGTGTGAAAAATGGAATAAGATAACCTGCTTCTTAAATGACTGGAACTGTAGTCATGATGGTTTAAGTTAGATAACTTACTCTAAATTTATGTTAGATGGCTTGCTAAATGTATGCAAGATTTTTTTATGTAGGAAGGATATTGTTAATGAGAAAGCATCCTATTCATCCTTTAATTATTTTTTCTTTTATTTCATATTCAGGTCACTAAAATTGACCAAAGGGACTACGAAGAACCAACAAAAATGCACAGATTTCAGCTCTCTTCTCTTAATCCACAGGAAAGAATTGATTATTACCAGCTAATTGAAGAACTAGGTAGGTGATGTATAGAACTTTTGGAATGTTGTATCTAGACTCTGTTGCTGCATTCCTCATAGAGACATATTGAACCATGTTTCTTTTGAATTGCTTTATTGAATAATTCTTAAATTCCTAAATTTGCTTTTCCTTCAGAAGGCATTCTGTTTTAAAATAACAGTACAAAAATATATTCCTTAGGGGGAGTGGTGTTGGAGAAGCAATGCTTTGATTCGAGCTGCACACATACAATTGTGGGACAGCCTCTTCGCAATGAAAAATTCTTGGCATCAATGGCAGCAGGAAAATGGGTGCTTCATCGTTCTTATTTGGAAGCATGCCGAGCAGCACACAGCTTTGTAAAGGTATTCAACATTATTAAGAACATTTAAAATTCATTAACATTTTAATGTAATTTACACTCTAGAACATAATGTCCCAGCCTGTATTTCATGGTGAACAAATATTTCTTTGAATATGACCAGTGTATACTATATATATAGATATTCCCACCAAAATATTAACTGTTTGACTTTTGAAGACAACAGTACAAACCAATCTCCCTTACTGTCTAAGAAGGCAAGAAATCACAGAATTCAAAGTAATTGATAAGTAGGCTTTTTCCAGTATATTCTTTCAGTTATTTTCCTTACCTTCCTTAGTACGCACTTTACTTAGCCATTCTTCAACTAATATCTCCTAATTAAAAATATTTCTTCTATCTACTTGTCTATGGATAGTCTCAGTCATCCAGATCATGGTTGTCCCATGAAGACATGCCCAGAGAATTCTCTCTGAACTGTCATTTTTTTCCAACTTGACAACAGAAGGAACAGGCTTCCTTTTATTTATTTGACCTTCCTGGATTAGGAAGAGTCCCAGAATCATCCCTCAAGGTCCTCCAATAACTGCAACAGTCTGCAAGCAGTTTTAGAAGCCGTGCTTCAAAATAGCTGGTGAGCTGAAGCTGGGTGGTAGGTGGTGCTGAAATCACGTCATTGTTGGATAAAACAGCCGTTTTGGGATTTACTTTTCGAACAGACAGTAAGCTATTCCCTTCATTTCTTAATCAATTTATGAGACTGTTATCTCTATTAGCTAAAAGAAGGTCTCTTTAGTTACAGTTTATCATTTCTTTTTGAAGCTATATGCCATCTTTGAGACTCCTTTATTGTTAAACAACAAGGAAGGGGGTTCCTGGAGGCAGCTAAAATAAGGAAAGATGGAGCATTGTTTTCTTTTGAAATATAAGAATAAAAGTTGTAGTCTTAATTTACTATTTTTAAAATAAACTGCAGCCTTGTGTTGTGGTGGCTGAAATTTTCCGATTTTCATGAACTCTGGGTAGAAAAAAGGGGGAAAAATAAATAACATTTTTTGACCACTAGAGGGAGTTATGAAGATGTTTAACTCTGTGCTGGAGTCTGTCATTAAGGAAATTTTTGAAAATACAGAAAACATTTATACCATAAATCACCTGGGGTCCAAAAATTATAATTATACAGAGGACATTAAAAAAAGAACATTATCAACCCACTTTATAAAATTATCAACCCATTTTGTCAACTCTACAAATGCTGGATAACCCAAATAACCTAACTCTACCTTTGGAATGTAAAGCTGACACCAGTTTTCATTATGATGATGGTTTGAATATAATCCTCCCAGTGCAGCTGAAACAAGAGTGTCAAGTTAACTCACAACTCCTAAGAGGTCAAGTTTGGGGTTTTTTTCCTCATGGATACCAACAAGGTCGAGAACTATTTGAGAAAAACAGATATGATAGAAATCTTAGAGAAGGAAACTTCATTCTACAAGGATTTGCTCCAGGTTAATCTACAGTGTCTAACATAGGGGTAGTCAACCTTGGCTCTTTTATGACTCTTGGACTTCAATTCCCAGAATTCCTGAGCCAGCTGGAGTTGAAGTCCACGAGTCATGAAAGAGCCAAGGTTGACTACCCCTGGTCTAACAGAACAATCTTGGGACAATTTTTCATGGATGTAAATAATGTTGAGACTTGATAAATACCCTTAAGAGAAAAAAAAGATTTCATTCTATGAAGACAAGCTAGAGGGAGTGAGTTAAATTTAATGATTTAATTAGTTAGGATAGATTTTTATAAGTTTGATATATATATTGAAAGAAGCTTTAAGGTAGCTTTGTATGTGTAAAATTAGTTTGTAAATGCATGTCTTCTGTCTTTTTATGTAATGTTGAGAAAGCTCTAATGTAGTTTTAGGTTCCCCCCTCCTTTATATATAATACTTGAGTACAGGTAATCCCTGAGTTACAAACGTTTCCTTAGCGAATGTTTGAAATCACGCGACAAGCGCCCCAAAATTATGAATGTTGACACATCACGGCAGTTGTTCACCCTTACGAACGACCGCAGTGGCACTGCAACATTCACCTTGGCTATTCCTTTGCTCGGGTCTCCCTAGGCGTTAGACCTGTGGATACTCACCTTGCGAAGATTGAAAGATCCTGTGCTTTCTTGGCTGCTCCAGGCCTTCGGTGCATTCACAGAAAATGGAGGCCTAAATTATCGTAAGATCACGCAAGAACAGTGGCATGAGATCTCACACTACTGATCTTGCATGATCTCATGGTAATTTAGGTTTCTGTTCTCTGCAGCAAAGCACGGAACGGAAGCCGGGGAACGCTTCTGCGGGCCTCTGGAAGCCAGATCCAGGCTTTGGAGGCCTTTTCTGGGCTGCTGCTCCTTGGAAAGGAGGCGGGGGCTGCTTCTGTGGGCCTCCGGAGGCCCGATCCAGGTGTCTGAGGCCTTTTCCAGGACGTTGCCCAGAAAGGAAGCCAGGGGATGCTTCCGCAGGCCTCCGGAGGTCTGTCCTGGGCTTCAAAGGCCGCCTCTGAGGCCCAGAAGGGAGGCTGTGGGCGGCGGCCGCATGCTTTTGGAGGTCCGTTCTGGGCCTTGAGGCCTCCCTCTGCTTTTGCTGGGAATAGAGAGAGAGGCTGGAGAAGAGCAGATCTTTACAAGGTAAGTGACCTGTGCGGCAGGATTAGGCGAGGGAGCAATTGTGGTGACCCCAGGGGAGAGAACATGATGTATCTCAGTGGGGGAGCTTGGGTGGTCTGAAGCAAGTGGCCTCTTCCATCACTAGCCCCCCCATGACCTTCCCCACCCTGAGATACCTCATGTTCACTTAATGAGGCATGCATTTGCCCACGCATTAAATTAGTGAATGCGTGGGTGAAAGCTGGGGGTGAATCGCGTTCAAGGTACGAGGTTCACTCCTACAAATCCTTGAGTTACGAATGGAATGGGCAGGCTCCATTACATTCATAACTTGATGACTATCTGTATTGCTTAAACTTAGTAAAATATCCAAACTAGAAACAGTGTTTTCTCCCTTTAGGGTTAAAAAAATTGAAGTAGTATAGAGGATCCCCTTAATATGAGTTATGATAAAGATTAATGAGTCAACAAAAGTATGTATTATTCCCCACAACAAAGAGAAGCAGAGATGGTCAAATTGATTCTTTTCTTCAAAGAAAAGAATATATCTAACCTTGTTTTTATTTTGAAATTGCTTCCAGATTTTGTGCTTGCAATAAAAAAAATGAAATTTTGTTTTTGTTTTTGCTAATTTGATAAGCTATTGTAAATAGCTTGTACATACTGTTGTTTACAAGTAAAAATTAGCAGTTGTAATGTTATCTTCTACTATGCTAAAGAGAGTCGGAATTTGGTGCCTTTTTCTTTTCTTTTCTCTCTTTACACCATTTTTTTCCTCTTCTCTCCCCATCCTCCTAGTTTTCTATTACTTTTTTGAATTTTTCTTTGAATTTTATATTTTGATAAATTAATAAAACTATTATTAAGTCAAAAGGCAACTGAACTTTGTTTTTCCTTGAAGTCGTTTTGCTTCTCATCCAAGAAGCTTCTTCAGTTCTGACTGAATGGTAGAGGATGGAAGGATTTATATTCCTTGCAGTTATCTGGGTATTAGCACCCTTTTTGAGAATTGTTGAGGCCACTTGGAGATTTATCTGTGCCTTCTGAATAGCTCAAATGGGTGTGGAATCTTCTTGGAACTTCTGAATGGACTGTGTTGTAATCAGGAGATAGGTAATGTTGTATCCCTCCTCTTCAGTGGGAGAGGGCTGTTCAGTCTTCATGCAGATGGCCTCTTTGACTCCTCTTTCAAACCAGTGGTCCTCTCTATCCAGAATGTGGACTTTGCTGTCTTCAAAAGAATGATCTTTGTCTTTCAAATGCAAATGGACAGCTGAATGTTGTCCTGATGGGTTTGTTCTCTTATGTTGTGCATTGCATTTGTGAAGTGGTTGTTTTGTTTCTCCAATGTACAGATATGTACATGTCTCACTCCATTGTACTGCATACAGCACATTGCTGGGTGTTTTATCCTTGGGGTAGACAAGCTTCTGCCTTAGAATATTTTGAGGTTTAAAGTGTTTATGTCTTTTGTGGTGGTTGAAACAATATAGTCTGGATAGAGAGGACCACTGGTTTGAAGGAGGGGTCAAAGGGGCCATCTACATGAAGACTGAACAGCCCTCTCCCCACTGAGGAGGAGGGATACAACATTATCTATCTCCTGATTACAACACAGTCCATTCAGCAGTTCCAAGAAGATTCCACACCCATTTGCACTCTTCAGGTGACCCTGAAGGCATAGATAAACCTTCAAGTGGCGTCAACGACTTCAAGGAAAAACAAAGTCCAGTTGCCTTTTGAAAAAGCATCTTTGGGATTCTCCTTTCTACTTTGCATGATTTCAGCCCATAAACAGAACAGTAAAGAATTAACTGCAACTGCCGAAAGGACTGAAATGCCTTGGGCTGCTATCTTTATTAAACTAGAGAGTAATATTGAACATATTGGGACCTGTGAAATACATCGTTTACTTCTGCTGGGATGTAACATCAACGCCCTGACCAGCATCCTGTTCAGAATCCCACTGCTGATATGCAGCATTCTATCATTCTATATTATTCTGGAGGGGGCACATAAGAATAGCAAGTGATTTGGTGGGGGGAAGAAAGCAATTGAAAAAAATGGCCTACATGTAATTCCATTTTCTTTCTCTAGATTTAAGGAAAGGTGCTAAATTAAAAAGTATTACCTTTCATTTTTATTACATACAATAGTCTTGAACAAACAGATCAAAATATCAGTGGGAGGTTTAAAGTTAGAAATGATAAGTGGGTGTGGTTGCATTAAAAAATCTATACCTAGACTATGAATATGAGACACTAGTAATCTGAAGAGAGGTCCAGTAAGTATAAATCTGAATTAGAATTGCTCTAGAAATTTTTTCCAATATCTCCTGGGCAGAGATATTTTCATTTTTGAACAATAGCTTTCTGAAATTCTGTTTTTGAAAGTTTGAAGTCTTATTGAAGTTTATTTGAAGTATGAAGCAGGAAGAGAGTTCCTTTTCCAAGAAAGAAAGCTAAAATATTGGATTTGTCTAACTCATGAATACTGAAAAAACATTTTTTTAATAGATAGGGTTTTATAAATTTCTACTATTCTGTCCAGTTTGGCATGAGAATGATTTGTCTTAAGATTTTGTTTGAAATTTCCTTTAAACTTGACAGAATTAAATATTATTATAGGAGGAAGATTATGAGTGGGGAAGCAACTCTATACTTAGTGTACTGACTGGAATCAATATAGTTCAGAAGAAGTTAGCAGTTGCAGCAATGAGATGGAGAAAGACAATACAACGACGGAGAGAGGAAAACAGCTCTGCTGAGGTATTTACACAATAAACATCATGAGTTGTATCTTGAGGACAGAATTAAGAGGACAGAAGTATATTTCATCTAACAAAGATTAATCCAACTTAATTTACTCAAAATACTTTTTCATTGATGGATAATGCATGAATTTATGAAAATGCTGCCAAGAAAACTGCAGGAACTAGTCCAGATAGTCACCGAGGATTAACACTGACTCAAAGGCACAACCTCCACCCCCAAATAACAATTTATAGTATTTATACAGTTACTTAGTACGAATAAAGGACAATATTTGTAGCTCAGGGTTGAAATGAGGGGTCCTTGTGATCTCTGAGCTTGGTTGTTTTCTTGAAAATGTTTTATTACCCAAATTATCAAAAACACCAAAGATGTTACCTAGTTTAGTAATGAAACACCTGCAAGAAAGCAACCAAGCTCAGAGACCATCAAGGATAGATACCTCAGTCACTATAGTGTAAAACACAAGTATAGTGTGTTTTAAAATACCTTGTTTTACAGTGGGTAAATAAATGGCCAAATGAGAGATTTAAGACATTGATTGGAATCCTATGGTTTCCTATCATTCTGTTTGTACAGTTTCCTTTGTGTAATATTCCCTATTCCTCAGACCAATCTGAAGTATCTAAATCAGGAGCTCTTGTTAGCATTTCATTGTCAGATGAAGTTACTAAGTTTCTTATGAGCTTTGTTACCTTGGTAAAACTATAATCAGTGAAACACAGAACGAAGGAGAGAAGATATGAGTTAATAAGCATTTTTGGACTTACTCCAGAGTTTGCAAGCCATGATTTGGACGATTTAGTTCATAATTTTCAGTTGAGAGACACTTTTTATGTTTGTGTGAGACCAATTTGAGTGCATCTTCAGATAACTTTATTTTCATACCATGTACTGAAGCATGGAAGGGCTATAGATGCAATTAATTTTATTTTATTTTTTTGTTTGAAGCAATAGAAGGGCTTTGACCTGTTATTTGTGGGTGGTGGTATTGCTGAAGTTTTTCTGCACTTTTCTCTGAATCAGGTAGAGCATTTTTTGCCTTTTGAGACTCCAACCACTTCAAGTAGAGTATCTGCCAATTTGAATTGGAACAGGGAAGAATATTAATCTATGTTGCTTTCTTGATTTAAATTGTCTTTGAAAATTGTTAAGATTAATTAATCTTAGAATTAATTTGCATTGTCTATCTGAGCCTCAAATGTAAATGGTAAAAAATATATTCAGTGTGACAAAGTTAATTATATTTTGGTACACAGTCAAACATACATATAAATGAATGTTTCTGCCTTTTTAAGGGGGCATTTGGTGGTTGGAGAGTTATTTTGAATGTTGACCCAGCCAAGGAATCAGGCTTCAAGCGTCTTCTAGAATCAGGAAGTGCAAAGGTGTGTATACATTTAATTATTTAGATATCAGTATATTTGACAATCATAGGTGAGGGAAATGTTGCTATTTTAATAAAAAAAACAATGCTTTCAGATTAAATGTTAAACCTCAATATTTTTTTATAATTGAAAGGAATTATTTTAGATGTAAAAAAGGAAAGGAGTGTGGGGATGTACAAGAAGTGCTGCATGGGTTGAGAAGGTTGTATGGGTGTGCACCAGAGTTGCAGTATGGATCGAGGAGGGTTGTGGGTGAGTGGCATAGGTCGGGAAGGATGCCTGGGAGTGCCCAAAAAGTGATGTGTAGATCGGGGATGGTACTCATAGGTGTAGGTCAAGAAGGATGTATGGGGCCATGGAGCGCATACAGTAGGAGGTGCACCACCAGGTAAGGTAGGACATGTGGGGAGGTAGCGTGAATCAAGAATGCTTGGTCAGTCGCAGGGTTGTGTGAGGTGCCATGTTGGTCAAGGATGGCACACATGGGTTGGTTAGGGTGCTTGGGGGTGAACTAGAGATTGTATGCAGGTCAGAGCTGACCTACCAGGGAGTGCAGATCAGAAGTCCCGGGTCCTGGATTTTGGACTCATTTGGTAAGTTAGCCTATTTGAATCAAGTTACCTTGCTAAGAATTTTAGGTAGTATATAGATATTAAGATCCCTGTTACTCATTCAGATCTACACAGGGGAAAAAGTGGGAGAGCACACTATTTACTTCTAAAACAAAAAAAATTAACTCTTATGATTTAGAGTAAGTTTTTGCAAGTCTTACCCACATGAGCAGACAATGATCATCCATCACTAGTATTGTATTATATTTCAACAAAATATTGTGTATGGTTTTTTTTTAATCTGACAAGCTATTTTCTGAAGGCTATATGTTAGGCGGTTTTGTTAAGTTCCTGAAATTGGCAAAGCTAATTCCATCTATACTACATAAGTAAACCAGAATCTCTGTCTGATTGAATCTACAGGTGTTCCCTGCATATTATCCACCTATCTTTAGAGAAGTTACTCATTTTTTTGCTGATCTTAATAAACTAAAACCAGAAGATGTTAGAATTAATATAAGAGAGGCTGCAGCTCAAGGAGTGAATTGCCTGAAGCCAGAATACATTGCTGACTACCTGATACAGGTTTGCATATTAGTGTCATAGTACAATTTTGAATTATCAAGACTATATTTTATTAGGTATACAAGTAATCCTCAACTTACTTGTTCATTGTTCATTTAACAACGGTTCAACCTCAGCAAACTGACTTACGACTCACACTCAAAATTATGATCATTAAATCACCCTGGCGGTTATTTGATTAAAATTTGAGCATTTGGCAACCGCCTTGCATTTATAAGAGTCGCAGTGTCTTGCAGTAATATGATCGTGATTTGGGACCTTCCCAGTCAGCTTCTGACAAGCAATGCAGTTGGGGCAGCCAGATTTGTTTTTAATCACCATGTGATGCATTTAAATGACCACAGTAAAAACTCTCATAAAATAGGTCCAGGCACACGATCACTTGCTTAACAACTGCATTGCTTTCCAACTGTAATTCTGGCCTCAGTTGTGGGTCTTAAGTCAAGGATTTATCTGTATATTCAGTGAAATACTATGATTACCTGAATTCAGGTAGACCAGGTTGAACATCCACAGCCTTGGACGCTCCCTAGATGACTTTGAGTTCTCTTCTCTCCTCTTTTCTTTTCTGTTCCCACGCCCATCCATTTTCTGCCCAACCTACCCAACAATCTATGGCAGTGGGATGCTTTGTGCACAGTTAAAAGACAGGGTAGAAAATCTTACATTCACTTTATTTCTCAGGTATAAAGATTATGACAAATTACTCTTTTGGTTGGGTTTCAACGTGATCTTTTCAGATAGCAGTATAATAAAATGCTTTCAAGTGGTAATTTGTTTCTCCATTGTCTTTCTAATCAAGAATATATGGTAGCAGGAAGAAAATATATGGTAGCTGAAAACAAAACGTCAGATAAAAAAACTGAAAGTATGATTCTTACAGCTTTCAAAAACTGCTGTCCCTATTTTTTTTTTAAAGGAACCACCACCTTCAATGGAAAACTATCATTTACCAGAAGCTGCTGCTTATCTTCAGAATAGTAAAATACTTGGAATTGGGTTTTCTCAAAAACGTAAAGCTGCTGAAGAAAAGCATACAGCAAAGAGGTCCAGAATTCACTGAAGCGACTAATCTGAAAATATAAATTTTCAATTTCTATTTGTTTTCCTTCCCAAGATAAAATATATTAATTTTTGTAGTATTTTTGTGTGCCTTGGATTTCAAGCAAATAATAACTACAACTTTTTCAAAACTAAACTTCTGCAACTTTTGTTACAGGCTTGGAGGAATGTGTATTTAGATTCATATTGTACTGGAAATGGTACTTGAAGTGTACTTTATTCAGTAAATGCATAAAAAACTATTGAGAAAGGACACACAAGGCCACTTAACATACTTCCATCTGTATCTTTTGCTTCCATCTGTATCTTCTTATTGGTTTCCGCAAGACAATTATATAATGTTATATAATATTATATAACATTTATTTAAGTTGCTATATTAGCTTATATTTGAAAAGGACATAGCCCCATTGAAGTTTTTCCTGCTTTTATAATTCATCTCTCCTTTTCTAAAAACATGCACTTTAGCTTTAGCAGTTCAGGAATTTTCTTTTCAATGGAGAGAACAGTTAAGCATCTCTAAAAAGATAGAACATTACCTTCCAGACCAAAGGTCATCTGATTTTTAAAGTTAAAAAAAGAATAATTCAGAATTGCCTAACCAAAATTTCAGACTTTTTTTTATTTTATTTGTTCCCAAAAAACTTGCTTATTAACTGGGATGTAATTTATACAAAGCTCTAGTTTTGACATGTTTACAGTATTCTCCCAGTTCTTTCATTTGTTAAATCAATGTTTTAATAACAGTATCAAGAAATCTGTATGCAGCAAGTATCAGTCACATCTGAGGCAGTTTATTTAAATTGGCTGTCTATTCATTTATATCAATAGCTGTAGTGAGAATAGCAAGATTTCAAGTAACAACTTCTTTGCAGAAATGAAGAAGAGATCATTCACTGTCTCCTTTCAAAATTCTATTGGGTTTTCATTTTTCAAAAAGGATTTCAAAAAAATGCAAATGTGAAGAAAACATAATTTCAATATTTGGAGACTTGGAAATTAGATTATTATATTCTTTAGTAGTAAAATTAAAACTCAGCCTCATTTTGCTAGTTTTGTTTTTAAAGAAACTACCTGGATGCTAAGTGTCTACAGTAAATAAGAAACAAACAATCTGATCTAATATTGAACAGTTGCTAATTGATATAAGGACCTTTTCTCAGGCAATATAACTGATAAAGATAACACTACTTGTCTCTTGAAAAAGCATGTAACAAAATTTCTACAAAAAGAATAACAAACTGTGAATGTAAGTTTATTTCATTCAGAGAGATTACAAAAATGATAATTCATCTCATCCATGCAAATCCCAAGAACCTTATTAATACAATTATATCTGCACAGTTAATCACACAGAACTAAAAAGGGATGTATAAAGTTTGAAAACTCAACCATGCCTTTTTAGAAAGTCCATTGTTACATGATCATTAATATATGTGTAAAGAACTTTACCATAGTAGTAAAATACTGTAAATAAAACCTAGTTGAATATTTTCTTTTTGTGCAGATGTCAGCAAATTTAGTTACACCTTGTATTTTTTATAGCACCTTCATTGGAAAACTCAACATTTTATAAAGCTGTTGTCAACCTCACAACATCCCTGTGAGGTAGGGAAGTATTGTTTTTGCAGTTTAGAAAACAAATATAATTAAATTTCCTCTAATTTCCAATGCTGTATTTGGTACAGACAATGCTTCCTCCTTTGCAATGGTTTCAAATTTCTTCATATTCTTGGATTTGTCACATGACAAGTTGCATTTTTGTAAAAATCAGTAATTTCAGTGAAATCCATTTTAATTTCCATTTTGTTGGAACAAATGTTAGAAATGTTCATTTTTGCATTTTAATAACAACTTTTTATCTTTAATAATCAAGTACATCAGCATATTTATGGCCAGATAATCTGAAGATTTACCCTTTTTTATTTTGCTTCTAAAAAGAAGAGGCATTTTATGCATCCAAGAGAATAAATGTGACAAGAGTTTTAGTCTATCCTATCCCACTACAAATTGAATAGGTCTTCAATCTTTAATGTATTATTCATTTTTCAAAATATATCAAAGATGCTCACTACGATAGTCTCATTTATGCTTCACCTTTCTATTTATAGGAAGCTAGGACAAGAATAATAATAAGTGTCTAAAGTGGTATAAATCCAGAATTTTACCATTTTTGTGCAGACCAGTTTTTATACACAAGTTGTATTTTTTCAAGCAAGCTATTATTCCAAAGCAGATTCTTATCTTTTGCTCCACAGAACCTTCTCACCATCTTTTTATTCCTACCTCGTTGCATGTCAGAAACTATTTAGTATTTTAATCTTTCTAGAACTTTAATCCTGTATGAGCAAATGAATTGATATATGGTAATATTAATTTCTGGGAATATTTATGGTTAAGAGTGATTTCCAGAATATAATAGTTTTGAAACATGAGTGGGGAAACTCCCTGGGCAGTTGACCTTATTGCACTTAAACATTTATATCTTCCTCCTGGAGCCAAGTGATCCTCTTGATTTAGTAAGTGATGAAATTAACGCAATATGAAGTAACTCTTAGAATGGGTCAAAATATTTATATATAGTGAAACCCATCTGATTTCTTAACTGCAATAGTAATAGTAATAATACAGGCAACCAAGTTCTTTTTGCTTCCACCCAGAACTGATACATTATGCAACTAGTCCACCATGATACTAGAGTTCTTTATAATTGATGAATTCTGTCCCAGCTTCTACTTTAGAATTGGGACATGCTAGGGATATAATTTTGGGTTCCTTTCAGATTGTAGATTTTAAAGAAGTGGACAGGAGGTGCAGAATGATAACGGCTATAACCTGATTAGACAACTTCTGGTTTTCTGGGCTGCTTTAAATGGCCAGGACAAGCCATGCTAGCAGAAATAATCATCTCCCTATATTCCCCTATTCCAGAGAAGGCAGTTAAGGTCAGTGGCATATTTTGTGAATCCATTTCAATTGGGCTTTTGACCAAGATAAGGTAATGAAACAACCTTGTGAATTGCCTGAGGATTGAGGTTTGGTATTGTTTTATAGAGCTTCCAGTTTTCTTGTCAAATTATGTCCAGATGGCAGTACTGATTTGTGTTCCCATTAGCCTGCCTTGATTCCGATTTTGTATCCCTATTCTACATGAATTTGATAGGGGAGTGTTTTCAAGAATTCTGATGTCAGGTGTCATTGCTAGGTTGATGTTACTCAGTTCTACACTCACCATCCAATTCTAAGCAGGCATCTGGTAACTGAACGTTACCTATGTTTGATAATGGGTAAATGTTACTGTTGGTTAAAAGGAGGACTTGGATTTTGGGATTGAATTATATGTGATTTGTATAAGGTTGCAGTCCCAGTGAAAATGTGTAGTTAATAAGTGCTGCTTTGATCCTTAAATCTCATTGAATTTGCAGATGTTGAGGAATCTTTGCACAATTTTATTATTACACCTGCATTCCTTCCAGGATTAGATTTTTACAAGTTGTCCGTGCATTGGTTACATCGTATTGTGACTATTGCAACACACTGTGGCTACCCTTGAAGTGTCCAAACATTTCAGTTAGTGCAAAATCCAGCAGGCAGATTGCCAAATTATGGAAGGTGCAAAGTTCATACGGTGCTGATACTATCTGCACTGGTTGCCAATTGCTTTCCAAGCATAATTTAAAGGGTTGCTATTAATTCTTAAAGTCCCAAATGGCTTAGAGTCTCTGTTGTTCTCATTACAAATTCAATTGATTGTTAAGATTGGGAGATACTCTCCTCCCCCTCCCCGCATCACTTTTAAACATATTACACTCCCAGAGATGTAGCTAGCCTTTGGTTATGAGAAAAGGCTTTTTCTTGCATTGCTCCTGAATGTTGGTATGCACACTTCATCACATTCTTCATTGTTAATCTTTTCTTGCTAATTTTATTTCACATTGTTTTTTTCTTTCTTTAAACAAAATTTTGTTAGATACTTGGAATGCCCAATACAGCTAAAGAGTAGCACACTCAAATAAATAAATAAATAAATAGCATTTACTATAAATTTATTTCTTTTGGAGAAGTGGACATAGGATAAGTCTATTAAAACTGTTTATTTTGCAGATCAATTATTGCCCTATTTTGTCTAAAAACATCTTTTGAAAGCAGGCAGTTGTCTCTATAGTTGATTTGGCTTAGACAATTTAGCCAAAAACAATTGGATTGCTTGAAACTGTATAAAGCATGTTTCCTATGAAGTATTGAAATGAGCATATAGAAGACATGCTCTATACAGTGTTTTTATTGTATACCACAATTGAAAATAGTGTTAAGGTCACAGCCTATTCATTGTCAATACATTGGATTTGAATTCCAATATATGACTGACTATACAGTCCAAGACTTCAAGTTCTTGACATGACAATTGTGCTGATTGGATCTATGTAGCTTGAACTTTGTATCTCTTGATCCCTATTCAACTTTGACTGCCAACATTCAGAAACAGGTACACCAGCTAAATAGCATGGTGCAATTATGTGTATCCACTAGATCAGGGGTGTCAAACTGGCAGCCTGTGGGCCAGATGCATCACACACAGGCCAGGCCCACCCCGGTTCCACAAAGGCAAAAAAATCACATGTGACATTGAGTTTGACTAGATCACGGGTGCCAAATTTGCCTCGTGACATATCGCAACTTTTTGCATTGATGGCAATGGTATGGGTGCAGCTTCGGTATGATGAAACCGGCCCATGGGCCGGTAGTTTGACACCCCTGGACTAGATGGATGTAGGCATTGATATTAAAGCCACATCTGCATATGGCTTGAATTATAAGTATACATTTTAGGATCTGTATAGAAGCCTCAGAAAATGTTCTTGGGAAGTCCTAATGCTTTTACCAAATGAACAGTAACTCCCAATTTACTGCTTATCAATACAAAATACATAGATATATAAAATGCTCTGGTTAGAGCAGAAAAAAAGCTGCTCAAATAAAAGTTTTATTATGCTATATTCTGTGCTATAGTGTATTATCAAAATATTGTTCATGTAAATACACTTTATCTGCCCCTTAGATTCCCTTGAAGTGTACTGTTAAGAGCTTCCTAAATTATAGTTGAATATTTTTGATTAGGAACATGGACACTGCTTTCATTTAAAAAGCACCAATCACTCTTATGCAGCAAAGTAGTTACATGGTTTTCCAGAGGTATTCATAGAATAGGCAATGAACCTAAATACAAATTCAGAATGAATTTTAGGCTAACTATGATTTTATAAGTACCGTGAATTAAATACTCTGAACTTCAAAGACAGACCGCTAAAAACTGGGACTGTTTTTTTTCAAGCTAACATTTATTTTAATCAGCTCAGAATTAGATGTCTGGACTAAAAGAATACTCATTTGCATTCAGATCACCTCAGTTTGTTTCTTTATAATTATTTTGCCCACGGATCACAAAGCAGTTGTGTAACAGAAGTTTATATTCGCATATATGACATTTGTTAGGATAGATAAAATGCAGAACTTCAGAGTGCATAAAGTCAAACCATCCACATGTGTATGAGCTCCTCCCAAAATTAAGAATCTCAAGGAACAATTTATAATATAAAATATGCACTTTGTTTACTAGAGCTCCACTTTCTTTTGAAAGATTTGACTAATTCAATGGTGTAATATTTCAATGAAAGCATGTTCACTAATAAGTATCTGGGGATGTAAAAGTTTTAGCTTCACTACAAAAAGCTGTCAACTTTAGCAGTATTGTTTTCTTTTAACTACATTTTTTTTGGCCACTTGATATTAGTGGTGTTGCTAGCAGTGACACAGTGAGGTAGATGATGACCACACATTTCAAGTTACTTACAGGCCACCAATACTTTGCAACAGCCAATTCAATGCATATCTATGAATGAACTCAGCAGAACTTTTTTCTTGTAACATGCATAAGACTGCAGCTTTAAGTTTCAACACCATGATCATGTATTTGCCACACTGAAGTGATGCACGGCATCAGAACATGTATATATAATCATTAGACTGCAGAGGTCATGAACATTTCTATATTTATTAATGTTACAATATTAACTTGCTATACCAACTATGCCCAAGAACTCAAGTGAATACAAAGGACAGCTTCATCTACCCTATCATACAGTATATTAAAACTTGATTCATGTGTAACAATTTTAATAAATGTCAAAGCTGGAATTTAAAATTGTACGTTTCACATAATCTTAGTTCTTCAGCTTTAATACCCTGCAAAGGCTTTGTTGGCAAATAGACAACTTTCAGGAAAGATACGCAACTCAACGATGTCAGCTGTTTTACTTCCAGTGATCTAAGCATGTAGAGGACTGGTTCTGCATCTGTATAAAACACAACTACTTAGAAGAATATATCTCACAATTCTTAATAGGAATAAAATATTATTCTAAGCAGTCTGTTCTTCATTTAAAGCAATGATTTCATATTCTAAACACTCCTTAATTGCAAAGTCATCTTTTTATAAAGTACATAGCTACTTCATAAGTAATACATTTGTCTAAATGTTGGCTTGAGAGTCCAGAAAACAGCCAGGCATTTGGAAAGACATATCAGGAGTGGCCACATTAGATTCAGATTGGAAGAACAAAGTAAAAAAAAATTAATCCAGGGAGCAAGAACCTCTTTGGGAGCTGGTTTGAATTCTACTCACAGTCAATGTTATATAGCAAAATATAGCATAAATTAGTATTCAAATACTGTTAATATGTGTCCAAATAAATGAGTACATAGCTGGCCAGGAAACAGTTTTGACTGAAGTTGCCATTACTCTTTGGGCAGGAGGAAAAAATGCCATAAATGCAACATCTTATTCTCAAAATATATCCAAATCTTAAAAACAGTAAATAAGTACAATGGACATTTTTCACTATGCATATAAGTATCTCCATCCTGCAAATATAATGGTATGCGTGAGCAATAGCTGATATTTCCTAACAGATTGCTAAGGCTAAATATTTAGCATCAACTTCTCAGAAATATGTCCCAGATATTATAGGAGCAAACATTTATTGACCATTTATCCAAAGAAAATCTAACTCTTTGATATATAGTTGCATATTCCATGCAACTACCTGACTATATTGCAATTTGTCAAGCCTGGAGAGCTATTTCTCAAATGAAGAATTTACACAAATGAAACCAGTTAATATACAGACCAATGTCCATAAATTTTCTATCTGGATATGTACTTATTTTCTGATAACTAAAGAAAAACTCAACACTATGCTGCATTTAAAAAAAAACTGTGCATTAGAGGTTCCTAGTAAATTATGGCTACATGTGAAAGGATATAATAAATGGGGCACGGAACAAACTGCTCATTTAAGGTCACTTAAATTATATTATATTATCAACTCAGATGGCTGATTTCTGCAGGATTTCTTAGAGGAATCCAGTAGAGCTGGTTTCGAGTTTCAGATGGCCACCAAAGAGTTGTAACCTTTTCCAGAAGTTGTGATCCACATGGTATCCACAATGAGTGCAGCAAGTCTGAGGTAGTCAACCTTTACGAAGGCTCAGTATCTGAACATAAAAAAATTTGAAATAACCACTGGCTGCAGAGGAATCAAAACACCGGGAACTCTTGTTCAACAATTTACATTAATTTCCCTCATAATATAAAGAAGGTGTACCAAATTAAGTATATTTTCAAAGTGCAGAAAAGCAATCACTTACGTCAAAGTAGCCTGCACTTGTTGTAGAAGATCCAGCAGAAACAAGACGGCATGTTCATAATTGGTGTGGTTTAGTTATCTTAAGAATGGAAGGGTATCAAATAACCATTCCTTAATTGTAATATGTGTGCAGCTTTACTGATCCCCAAGCACAGCATATTGGTTGTCTAGCTGAAGTTTAGTTGCCTGGGATTTTGAAACCTCATCCCTACCTCTATTTTTGTGTTTTACTACTTCAAAGCTCTTCTCCATTTCTTTATCCCTAAGGGAAAATAAATGTAATCAGTAACTGTCTTAGACACACTTGCCCTTTAGCAATACTAATCAATGACACTAATTTAGTTGCAAAATTCCATGACTAGGGTCCTAACAAAGGAGACCATAATCCAAAGAACTATTGCAGGCATGGTTAAGGGCTTGCATATGCCACTGATGACATTTCTCTGAACAAACCTCAATGCCATTTCATAAACTGATTTTGAAATGACAAACTGGGTTCTGTTATACAAGCATGTAAATTCTGTTATACAAGCATATATATTCAAAACTTTTGATAGCATTAATGAGGCAGTTCACTGGATTGCAGCCACAAAAATGTATCCCAACATCCCAAATAGACTAACACTGCAACAACATGTCAATAATTATGAATATGGTAATGTCCTAAATGCAACATTCAGAAACTATTCCAAAGCATAAGCTAAATGCATAACTATTTCTGCATGCTTGTTTTTTTTTAATTGAACTTAAATCGCATGAAAGCTTGGACCTGGAATACTTATTTATAAGCAGTCAGTTACAAGAAGACTGATATTCAAATAAAATCCATTAATTGTGTAGGGACTGCCTAAAAGTCATTCTTAACACAAATAATCCCAAATGCAGTAACAGATTATGAAACAAAATTGGCAAATGCCATCTTTGTGTATATTATGGAACAAATACAGATATACTGTAATTTACTGCTTAAGTTTAATATTGATAAACCACCTATAATTAAAATTTGAACCATTTACTCAGTATCAATTAAAATACTGAAGTTCTGCAATGGACCAAGTCCCATAGAAAGTAATTTGATATTAGGAATGGGCCCAGATCAAGTTATACAACAATCTCACATCCCACCTCTCTACATAGCACTGCATAAATTGAGAAACTGGTTTTTAAAAATTTCAATCTGAGCTTCTGCAGATAAAATCCATATCCTCCCTAGTTATTCTTAAAGCACACTTGCTTCCTCTAGTGCAGATCACATTGTATACTTGTTTATGATCTGTGGAAAAATTACAAAACTTTAGATTAGACTATGAAACTATGAAGAGATTGCTAGGTTGGGAGAAGAATTATTTTAAGGAAATATTCTAGAATTGTATCGCCATACTTACTTTCTAGTATCTACTTGCTTGGCAGTGGACTGCAATGATGGGAACTGTGTATCACTATAGATCTCTGGAGGACCTTGTGGCACTTTTCGTGTCCTGCCTTCTCTTGCACCAGGTGGCCTATATACTCCACTGGATTGCACTGGCTCTGGATTTTCTGTAAAGAATTTAAAAAACCCAAACAATCAGATATAATTAGATAAACGTTAAATGAAAATTTTCAATTTAATATTTAATATTGAATCTACACTTAATTCTTTGGCTGTACAAGTAAAGATTCCTCTGTATTCAGACAATCTATTCCTTAAGCAAGTGTTAGAAATAAAATATTTCCAAATATATTCATTTTTTATTCAACAGGTTTTCATTTAGCTAAAAATGAGACAAAATGGCCGATTCAGTAAACATTGGTAAATTAAAAGGAACATAGAACAAAGCTCACCAATAATTTCAGCAACAGGTATTTGTGTAGGAGCAGACCTATTCCAAGGACCAGATGATTTCTCCAAACTTCCACCTGGTTCCTCACTATTATCCCTTGGTTCTTCTTTTTTCTCATTTTCTTCTTCATCTTTTTCACTGACAAAAAAAAAAAGGTGTTGCAGCATTCATCACTTATGTAAACACATTCATACTATAATGCGCAAACTGAGCATACAGTAGTGCTGAAAGTATGTTATTTAAAACAAAAGGGAACATCTCCAATCTCGTGTTATGAAGACTAATACCAACAATTAGAACACAATCATGTCACTAATCTATAGGCTCCTAACTAATAAAGAGGATGCAAAATGTTTAGGCATGAAAAAACCTTGTTTTTAATAATCACCAACTAAGATTAAATACTGAACAGTATTTTCTCCACCAAGCACAGAAATATTAAAGCATTTAAGAACAGCAAGCATTGATGTTTTGAAGCAATACTAGCCACTGTGTGGCAAGCTTAGAGATAAGACCTGATTAAGTTTTTCTTCACCTAGAACTTGCAAGTAGTAACTGAATCATTCATGTAGAACTATAGTTTTCAATATATACCTATATACTTTCAAGACAATAATACCTAATTTGCATGGACTGAACTCTGAGGCCACTGTAGTCAATTATTTCTTCCTGCTCAAATTCTTTCCAGTCATCCTCTTCCTGCAAGATGAAGATTACATAGGCTCATTATTAGTTCTTAATGAAGGGCAATCAGCACTGGCAGCTATAGAATGACTGTCACAGAAAAAAAATAGTAGTCATCCTCCTAGGATTTAAATATTCCCAACTCTTCTGTTATATCAGAAGCTAAACAGTGCCTACTTTATAACTAGATAGACCATTTCCACTACTCAACATTCCATACATATCCCATAACACAACTAAATTATTTTCATGATAGTAAGTAAATGTTAATTTTTTCTTTCAAATTACATGCTATATAGAAATCTTAGTATTGTTTAATACAGTAAAATTCTAGTATGCAAACTGGTTCTAACCGATTCCAATTTTAAAATTAAAACTTAAAATTTAATACTTTCAAGATAGTAAAACCTCTCTATAGTATGAAAGATGGCATATCGTGTAGGTTTTCTGGTATTAGTCATATGTCCCCACTTTCACACACTCTGGAGTTATGGAAGTTAGCTTTGATCTGACTAATTCAGAGTTTGATTCAAAAAGGAGTAGTGAAATCAAAACTCCTCAATATCTTAGAGCAAGCTTAAAGAGGGATGAAAAGGAAGAGAGAGAATTGGCTATATTTTAGTTTAGTCCCAAGTTACTATCCATCTTTGAAGTTACTATAAAATCATTATTTCTCGCCAACATGCTATGAGCATTGTCAATTCATACATCTGAGAAAACATAGAAGAAACTACCAGTATTTGCAAGTTAAAAACTATTTTGTTGCATGAAAATGACATATACATTTGGTCAACAATGTATTATGATGGTAAGATGGAACGGATTTTCATTTACCATTAACTGCTGTAGGCCGTATTCATCCACTTATTTGCCAAGCTCCCTTCCTCTCCAAGAGTCAGCAGGGAATCAGGCTACTCTAAATCTTGCTATTCTACAGTTAAAATTCCCAGACTCTATATTTATATATATTGTTTTGCTTTTCATTGTTTGGCTTTTTGGTTATTGAACGCTTTAATATTCCTTATAACTTGCCAGCACAACTCAAGACTGGAAAGAGCTACAAAGGAATAGATGGTACACCAGTTATTTAGTGACTAGCAACATAGCAGCAAAATGAACTGACAGTGTCAAAGCCCGTAGAGGAGGCTGATGTTTCCTGATGGCAGCAATGTTTGGACGAGTGAATTTGCTGAGTTTGCTGGCAGATTTGCCAAGATTGTTTGTCCATAGCTTATACCCATAGTTTGGGTGTTTAACCACTAGTTGATATCAAAGAGATATAATGTTTTGTTAACTCTTGGCTGCCACTTGTTGCTGGTCTAGTTCTATGAAACCAATGCACACCTACTGAATAAGTTTTGCTGGAGAATAAAATTTATCAAAAGATTTGAGAAGCCATGAGGAGCCAGGTCTTCCTTGGCAGCAATAGCCATTTCAAAGATAATACAGACAATTACAAATGGCTACAATACCCCCAATTTGCTCTTAATTGCTATCCAAGCTGACTTAACCAGAATTGTGGTGTCTTAATTGTCTACTCTTGTTCTAAGTGTAATTTTTTTTTTGAGGGGGACAGGCAGGCAGTTACACAAATTCTGAAACTTAGCATCTTGTCATATACGGACAGTTTCACTGCCTCCTCCTCTTGCAGTCATCAAAAGTCTTGCTTCCTCCATAATTTGTTGGGGGAGGAGGGGTGAACAAAAATTAGTATATTGTTTTAGTCCACAGCGCCATTAATCTTGAGAACTAGTGGTGTATACAAATAGAATGCTAGACGAGATAAATTTTGGTCTGCTCCAGACTTTTACATTCTTCGGTAGCTATTTTTGGAGGGAGGCAATAAAATCGTAATAACCGTGTACCATTCTCATATTTTATACTCGGAAGCGAGTGCCCAGGTCTTATCTTGCCTCAACAGCAAGATACTCCTGTTGCTCAAAGCGGCAACTGAGAAAATCGTTCTTGTGCTCTCATGACTAGAGCAGCAAGATGCGGGTTCAAACAGAGGAGTCGTGAGTGCCAAGTGGGAAATTTGGGACAAACCTGGTCAAGCAAGACTGAGCAATTCTCCTGTTTGATCCCCAAAGTCATCCCGCGTACCAGTCTATTTCCTAACAAAATGGATTCCCGTTGCCCCTAGCCTCGGTCTCGGCCCTATGAGCGAAGAAAGCTAAGAAACTGCCTTCCACGCGCCCCAGAGGAAACCCAAGATGGCCTAGCTGGGATGTAGCGACGCCCTCTACCGAAAGGAAGCTACCAACGCCCACAGGAAGTAGTCAGGATAAAGTTTCCTCCTCCTCCTCCTCCTCCTCCCCAATCCTCTTCCACCCTAGTTCCTGGCCAACAAGAGCCCATAATTCTCCCAGTTCTCCCTGGTCGGTCTCGGTCTCCTTACCTTGTTTGCTGCCTTAGCACCGCCGGTGGCCGCGTTAGCATTAGAGGCGGCTCCATGGGCGCCTTCTGCTTGCCGGCTTCCCCCAGTCACACCCGCGGCAGTGGCATTGGAAGAGGCAGCCGAGGAAGGCGCGGCAGTGGCACTTCCCCGGCTACTTTTCTCTTTTCGTTTCTTTTTGTCTCGCTTCGCGAAAAAGTCATCTAAGCTCCTCTCCTCGGTTTCAGCCATGGCGGTGGCGGCGGTAGCTCCTCGCACTCCGGTTCAAACCGGTTATGACTGACAGACTGACCAGTCGCCTCTGCCTAAGGACAGTTGCGGGGAGAAGAGAAAGGGCGGCGAGAACTCGGCGCCACCCAGCAGCCTCGCGTGCTCCTTACGTTCGCCTGGTACCCGCCGCTCCCGTTCTCTCGTGGGAAGCAGAAGGTCCGAGCTTAAACTGCCGCCGCACGCGCAGGCTCTGGCCTCAACGCAATTCGTTCGAAGAGGAGCAGAACGGCTTCCGCTCTCCACGTTGGTGGCCACCACTTGTCACAGCCGAAAGAGGAGGCTGGGAAGAAGAGAGGGAGGGGCGCCGTCAAGAGCAGAGCTTTTCTAACGTAGCACGCAAAGAGCCACTTTATTGGGCATCGGAGCGGGAAGGCGGGAGAACGCATGCATTTGTCCTTCCGCCGACCAACCCGCTGAAAGAAATTAAGAGTCTTGGAGCCAATCAAAAGGTGCGGGGAGGAACCGACGTACGTCTAGCAAAGTGAGTGCCGGCAGCAGTGAACGTTAGGAATTCCTGCGGGTGAATTATTTAGCGCGCATGCGTAGGGGCAGTAGAATTTTTGAGAAATGATTCGTTCGCGTAAAATAGGCGGAGCTTAGTAGGGGCATGCGCTATGAGGCGGGAAAGGAGTCTGCGCAATTTGACTTTACTTCTAGTGACTTCTCCGAAGCGCGGACGACAGTAGACGGCAAAGGTCACGGAAATCTGACTTATGACATCAGAGGGTTCTCCTTTTAATTATCTTCGTGACTTAAGTTTGGAGCCGCCTGTAGTCAGATAATAAGCTTTCTAATTGCTTTTTCTCATGCGTTTTGTATCCCACAGGAAAGTTCCCTTCAGCATTACCAGCAAAATGAATTTCAAGGGCTTAGCTCCAAATCATTAGCAGTTTTAAGGTCTTATTACAATGCACAGCAATAAAGCTACAACACTGAATCCTGCCATGATGTATTGTAGAGGCACGGCTTAGTTCCAAATATTGATTAAAATATACTATGTTAAATGCAACTTCAGTTACTTAGAATATTGTGTGTGTGTAAGGATCTCAAGTTATGTTGATTTAAAAACTTCTTTATTACCTAAAGTAATATTGTGAATTGAAGTTACAGCATGTATTTTAAGTAAGATTTGGGTGCTAACCGTAAAATGTACAGTATTTGTAAAAATTTTACTTACCATTATAGAAGTCAATTTATTCTTTTGACCATCACAATCACAAAAGGAAAACAAGAGGGAAATAAGGAGTTGAACCATGAAATTCTATCTGTAAATGGACCTATTTAGTTTTATAACATTACAGATCTCTTTGCTTGGAATGATAAAAGTATGTCAGATTGACGCATGATCAGAAATGATAACATCCCTCCCAACTCGCCCCTGTGTTAGGATTTGAAGCCCCTGGTTCCTGGAAGAACTCTTATTTCACACGCTCTTTTCTAGATGTTGGCCAACATTTTTTAAATGTTGCTCCAGGGAATTCTTTCTTAGTTCAAATGAATTGAGATTAAATACATTTCTAATGCAATGATCTATTTTTTAAAGAGTTGTGCAAAATATACTTTTCTTTAAATGGAACATTCTGGAATTCTCCAGACCATTCTTCTCGGGGAATACATTTTGCATATCATTACTTTTGAAACTTCACAGCTTCAGTGGACGGAAGAATACTGAATTGGATTGGGATCATGAAAGGGGAAATAAACATTAATCTCTGCATTATCTGAATACTCACTCTTCTGCAAAATTACTACTTACTCCACAGGAGAAAATCTCTAGGATATACTGGATCCCTAAGATGGCCATTTCTAGCTTGTTCTGCTTTCATCAGTTAGCCATACCCTTTATGGGATTCGAACCTGGGCAGTTTACATACTAGGCAGTGATTCAACCACCAAGCCACAGGGTCTCCTCCTCTCTTTGCCAGCAAAGAGTATATATACTATTGTGATTTTTATATATATATATGAAATTTAAGTTAGAAAATTGCAGTGAGGACAGAGGTAAAACCATTTTCAGTATTGAGATATGATTCAGTATGCTCCCTCAAACAGTCTTTAATTTAAAAAAATAGTTGTGTTTTTGGCTAAGGATAGTCTAAAATATTCACTTGCTAGTAGTTTAGGGCTATATTGAGATCATTATTCAAGACTAAACAGAAAAGGTAGCCTAGAAAATATTCACATTCTTGGAGAGTGCAATCAATAACAAATAGACAAACTCCAAAGAAACTTACAAGGTTAGCTTAAAATCTTTCAAGTGCATAGTGCACAAAGCTTGTTCTACAAAAATACAATTTAGATTATACTGTTCTGCCAGTCTGATTCTTCAATTGTTCCTTTAAAACATAAGTAAATCCCACTATGATCACTGGAATACAATTTCCAAGTTACATATATAAAATTGTAGAATTATTTTAGTTGCTCAGTATTTTAAAAAAAATTGGACAGCAGTACTTGAACCTAATATTTTATTCAATTATACTTTTTATGCAAAGCAGTCATTTAGGGCATTTAATATAATAGGCAAGTTGGCCTGCTTAGATTAGCAAATCAAAGAAATTTTATTGTCATGTTTTCCATGAACACTTGCCAATAAGATACTTTCCTTTGAATGGTAATAATTGTCTTCTGACGAGTAAGAGATCAGCTGAAAGTTAAATGCAAAAAATGCCATGTTATTATTTCCTAAAAGATAACAAATTGTTAACAACTTATTAACAAAGCAAAATTATTGATTAATGTTAGCAAGAAAAAATAAGAAAATTACAGTACACAGATACATTTTGTATATGTATGGATTTGTATCAAGAGTTAGCAAACTTTTTAGGTATGGAATACCATTATTGTTCAATGACATTGATGCCATTTAAAAAATAAAATAAAACAATTTTTATTCTTTTAAGATTTTAATGGTCTCATTCAAGATTTGTGTACAATAAACTCACATGCAGATGCTTTAAGAGTTCTCTTAAATCTCATAAATTTTCCACTATGAGAAAGATTTCGCTCTCAGAAATTTCACAAGATCTTACGCAGGACTGTTGGAAAATTACCAGATGTGGCTATCTCAGAAGGTATCATTCAATAAAAACTAATTTTGAAAATCCACTGAGATAATCAGGGGTCCCTTAGGAGCCATATGCCCTTATATTTATGTAAATGATTAGTAAGAACTATGCCATAAACAGGATAGTCACCTAATCTGAGACAATGAAGAATACTTTTATCATAGTTTTAAGGGCTGAATAAATGTTAGAATACAAATAAAGTTACTAAATTGGACTTGATGCTTTTTATTTACAGAGTAGGTAATTGCAAATGCAACATGCTACTAATTTATTAAAATATTATAATTTTCTAATTTTAGTTTTAATTTTAAAGACCAGATGAGCAAAATATTTTCTTAACTATAGTTACTACACAGGGAAACGCAATTAGATGTTCGGTAATATATACCATATATCTGGTGCTTTCTAAATTTATTGGGGACACTAATCAGGATTGATTGGTATTGTAGTTTGATAGTTTGGCAGCTGCCTCTATTTTTTGCTCTGATAAAGTACTACTGTACTGTAGGCTTGACTTTGAACAAACTGAACCATTAGCTGACAATGTTTGCAATCTAGAGAGACATCAAGTTGGAGAAAGCTAATATATGAATAAAGTGTGTGAATAACTGAATTCCTATTTGGTAAATAGTATTTGGGATAGGTTCTTAATTATTAATAAACTGCTTGGATTTTATTACACAGAAATCCAATTATTGGAGCAAAGAACCAAAATGGCACTAGCTACACATAATGATCTCAGTGGAAGCTCAAAAATGTTAACAAGAGAATATGGATTACAAAAGATGGCAAGACCCCTTGATATGGCATTTCATCACACTTCAGTTTTCCTTTTTCAATAAAGAGCAGAAAATGCAGAGTCGCTGTGGGGGAGAGGTTTATTTTAAGATCCCATCAGCTGGAGGGACTGACTTAGTTTTGAACGATGTCCTCATCCCTCCCGTAGAATAGGTGCTGGTAGAAGAAGCATATTGGCAAACCAGGAATTTTACCATTTTGTATTAATGTAAACCACAACTAGGAATATTCAGCTTTTTTTTTCTTTCTGAATCAGCTTACTCTGATTTTTCCCTCTTTCCTTGGGCCCAGAGATGCTGCTATGTAAATTCAACACACAATTCTCACTCATACAAAATAATTCACTCGTGAAAAAGAATTACCTGCTTTCCTTCTCTAGAAGGCAGTGATATGCAGCAATGTCTGATTCGAGTTGTGTTTTAATGGACAATAGAGTTTCATGATTTCTTTGCTGTTGCTCAGTTTCTCCTTGGATTTCTCTTACTTCTGCTTCCAGTTTGGCAATGACAGAGCCTAAATTCTGAAGCTCTATGTCATGCCAGTGCTTGGCATCATAAAGAGAGTTTTCTAAGCCTCTCTTCTGTAAAGACAAAATAACCATAGAATGTTGAACATTAAATTTCTTGAATTTCTGTCTTTAGAGATACAATTATTAAATCCATACATATTAGTTTTTCAAATAGAGAATCCTCCTCTCAGGTATACGGTATATGAATTTCTAGAAGAAAAAGATACTAATACATTATTCCTACAAAATATCTGCTGTGCACAGACTAAAGAATTCCAGTCAAAGAGATTATTTGGCCATCAAAATAAATACTGATCAGGAGCATTTAAATAGTGCTAATATTGTGCTCTCAATATTTTGGTAAAAAGTCAAAAGTATTTTTCTGAATGATATCAGTATTATCTCTGTATTACCACAGTGCATTCCAAAATATTGATATTGTTTCAAGTTAAAAGTAGATAATTTAGTAATAATAATTACTGTTTTATCAGAAAATGGGTTTCAGTTAATAATTTGTAAAAACTCGGAAAGTTGTTTGATAGTAAACAGTTTACAGCTGTTTATTAAGAATGCACTAGTCTAGAAGCCCCCAAGTTTTTGGGGGCATTTGATATTTTAAGAACATGTGGGAATTCAAAATAAAATGGTCATTCTAGGTGTGAGGGGATACTATTTATAAAATATCTTTTTATATCTTTAGCCAAGGGGCATTTTTCAGTTAATTTGAAAAATCCTCTGGAAGAGATCAGTCCAGATCTCTAATAAGACCTGTGTATTCTTTTCCTAAACTGGCTACTTAATAATATAATATGTGAACCAGGTCAGTGATTTTTTCCAGAAAGAGACGCTTGGTCCCTAACTTACCAGTGTTTTCAGTGATTCGGTCTCTACTTGCAGGCTTTGAATTTTGCAAGCTGTTTCATGAAACTCTGCCCTTAGGGATTCAGCTAACTCTGCATCTTGTGTTTGTACAGCAGGCACTGTTTCTGTGGATTGCTGACAAGATATAACAGCGATAAACAGAAAAACATTGCTTTATTTTCCAGTCTCTTCTACATAAGTATATTAGAGAAAAATTAAAGGAAAATTATTGAGGTTTTAGATCCAGCTTTTTAATTATTAACATAAATAAATATAATTCTTGAATAGAAACATTGTCAGAAGAAAATGGAAATAAAAATTATTACTAATGAGCTAATGAGTAGTGCTTCAGATTGCTAGGAAGAAGTGCTGAGTTTGTATGTGTGTAAACACTGCATCTATAATTTATTTCAGTGGCTGTATCTTGTTTTCAGTAATGTGGTTGTTCTCATGAGTCACAGACGAAGGCTACATTTGTACTCCATGTATTCTGAAACATCTCTTCCTAATCAAATCGGAAGCATTGCACAGTCCTAATAATGAATAGCATTACGTTAAAATGTAGAAGCACCCAACTGGGTTAAATCTAGATTATACTAGCCTCACTTCAATCCCACTAAAACTGATGATACCGGTGAGATAATTTGACCCATAAAGTTATATTGTAACTATGGCTATTGTAGGCAGGAGCCAACCCAGTGAACATAGAGGTGCCATACATTTCTTAATTTCCTTGGCTTCAACAGCATCCAACTTTTTGTCATCATCTTCTATCCTACTTTAGACACACACAAAGATCCAGCTCTCTGGAGAAGGCTCTAATGCTGGAAAAGGGGGAAGATAAGGGATGAAGAGGATGACTCAGTTACACTGACCTTGACCATTGGGAGACTTGAAACAACTGCTTAGGGATAAAGCGTTGTGGAGAAAAACTATGTGGTTGCTAGAAATCAAAATAATGTAATAGCATATATTAATTCTATTGGTGAACAATTCTGGAGAACTCAAAAGATTCCCATATCTTGATCTTCAGATTAGCCTGATAAATGTTTTTGATTTTTTTTTGTAACCAATTCACAATTGCTTTGGGAGTTTCCATTCTTTTACTTAACACTAATTTTTGTTCCATTTGACAATTTGAAACTTGCTAGGTTTCTTCACCCTAGCAGAGAATGAAGATAATCCTAGTTGCAATTTGCAACTATCAAAGAGCATCCAAAGAGCCTAATTTGAATGTCTACAACTTTACCTACCAAGTTAGGGACATCCACAATGAGGATTACAATAAAAGTCAAAATGGCAGCTGCAACCATGTGCTTGAAGGCTTGTCCTTTTTTTAAATGCATTGCATGACTTTTTGTCCTCTTCTACATATGCCTTGGACCAAATGCAAACCCTTTGGGCCTGGTGTTTCTTTTATTATTTTCTGCTGCATTCTTGGTTTTATTTACAATTTTGCTGAATAATTGTGCAGAATTCAAAAACCTTAAACTGTATACTGTTTGATTATGTTTAATTGACCTAAAAGAATTTGAAATTCACTCTTACAGCTGATCTTAGCTTGTTCCATGCTTACCCTAGCATGGAGCAAGATACCAGTCTCAGCATGGTTTTGTTCGATATTTTTCTCCCATTGTATCTGGATTTTCTTCAAAATGTCATCCAGGCTAATTCCAGTGGAGGCTTCTAATTCTTCCAGTGGTGATAAAGCAAGCTGTTTGTAAAGCATTTTGATATCCTGAAAATAAAGTTGTTACAAATAGATGACCAGTTAATTTAAATAAATAAAATAATGAAGTGAAGCACATATTGTAATGAAAGCCAGAGCAGTTATGATTTGATGCAACTTTGTCACTATGCAATGCATTTGCCTCTATAGTAAGGTGTTGAAAGAGCTATTCCTCAGCTAATCCTGTATTTCATAATATATGTAAGAATTTAATAGAAACATAAAAATCTTGATTGTGGCTTTAAGGGGTGACTATGAATATATTTCTCTTGAGAACAAGCAATGTTCAAGAGTGTCTTAAATTAATGGATGATTTGCAAAATAATTTAATTTTTGTCAGTCTAATAAAACATCACAGGGCTGTGCTATAGGCTCAGATAGCTAGCATTGCTTTGAAAGTTTTTATTTAAATCCAGTACATGATTACATTTTTGATACTCATAAGTACATAAAAAAGCCCTTCTGGTACAGATTGAAAACCCATCTAATCTATCATTGTTCCCATAATGGATAGCTAGATCTCTCTGGGAACTCCAAAATGTTTGGATTCCATAACCACTGATATTTAGAACCATGATGGTGAAAGCTGTACGACTGATAGTGAATATATACTGTACTGCTAATAGCCATTGTTATTTTCCATGATGTTCTGTGAAAAAACAGAACTTAGTACAATTACTAAGGAGAACCCAGAAATTTCAAACATGAACACAAAAGAAAGTAGAGATTTCGTAATGTCTATTATAAAGTGTTTTTCAGCTATTGGTTCTAATGCTATATATTATAGACTTTCATCGATGTAGGTAGGTGTGCAGAAATGAAGTGAGAACCCATAGATTATTATATTATTACAAAATGATAAAATGCTTACTGATGGCATTAAAATTCTGGTATCAAAATATATAAAATTGATTTCCATCTTTTGTTTAGATAGAAGTAGAATACATATCATGCTTTGTTTCTCAGAATTGATTTACCTCTTCATGATTCTTTGACAGTAAAGCTAGTTCTTTCTTCTTGTTTTCTATCTGACTCTCCAGGTCTACTTTAGTCAAATTAGCATGATCAATTACTTTATACAGAGAGTTAATTTCATCTTCCACTGCCTTTCGAAATGGTTGCTCATTTTCATACCTGCAGTATAAATGAGACTATGAGAAAATAATATCACAAAGTTTAGACTTTTGGCATGAAGAACTACCAGTTATTGAAGTCATAGTTGCATTCTATTAATGAGGAGGATTGAATTCCAGTTCCTCAGCTATTATTTAAAGTACAATTCTTTTGTTTTTTAAATATTGAAATATATATATATATATATTTACTTTTAATTTAATGTTACCTGTCTTTAACATCTTCAGCACATGCTTGAATACTTTCTGTTTGTAACATGAGGCGGGCATTTTCCAGAACTGCATCCCCTACCTATAACAATTTAAAGAGTCAAATGTAAACAAAATATACAGCCTGTATCCAAAATTGGATACGGATGGAACTAAGTGCTAGAATAACATCTTAACTCATGTGGTGCTTGCATAGATATGACTTAATGTTCTCCTGACGGCAGTGTAGAATGAAAAAAAATGGATGAATCTTCAGAGTGAACCACTAACAATAACTTGCTGCATGGCACTTTTGTTGTTGAAATTATTTAAAATAGCTTTTATATGTCCTATACATTGCCAGCACGTTTCCCGTGCACTGTATTTTTGATAAGATGTAATTCCTCTCTTATTATATATGATAATTCCTACATGATGACTGCAGATCCCAAAATGTAAAAAGAAAAGAAAAACTCAAATGTTGACATATCTCACAGGAGTTTGGCACTTCCCCAGAAAACATATTTGAGATCTTATCTATCAGAACCAACCCCCTCCCCTGTTTTTTTTTTAATCTCCAGAAATATATTTGTGTGTACGTTTGAAATGTGTAATTATTTCATATACACTGCTAGCTTTTTTGGACACGTTTACCATTAGTAAATGAGTGGATAGCCAATAACATGATAGCTCTCACATATTGTACTTGTATGATTAGGTTTCCAGAGGTGGAAATTGGTTTTGAAAGCAGTTGTGGGGCACTTGCAAACGAGGCTTCCCTATGCTGTGAGGACTTATGCTTTGGATGATATTAAATTTCACTGATTAGTTCATTGGAGATCAGAGAAATGTCTCTATTTCCTAAACAAAATTGTAATTCTAAAATGTGACAAGGATGGGAATATAATGAAAATCTCACTTTTTTCATTACACATAGAATCAAGCTGGTAAAAAGGCTATATACAGTAAGTGTATAAATGAAGCAACTCTTCATTTTTTCATATTTTCTTGTGAAACACTCAGAATTGGGGGGGAGGGGTCAGGTGATGCCCTAAATAAAGGAGTAAAAACATAGATCCCTTATGGCAATGCTCAAACTTAATTTGAATATTGCAACATACACTATAAATAATAGAATTTATTTTATGAAAATTAAATTAAAATGTATCAGGTAGGAGAAAATGTAGTGTATGTTTGCGCTTAAGTAGCCTCATCAGAATATAGATGAATTTGGTGAATTTAGCTGTGGTTAACAAATGCTTCATTGTTTTGTTCTTGCCATAAATTTTCATACTTACTTGATGGTAAATGGTTGCCCAGCTCTCCCTCAGAGATCCCCATTTACCGTCGCTGGAAGATTTCTTGTTCAGGTAAGCACGGATATGTCCTTCAAGTTCCTGGTTGACTTGCTCCAAAGTTTTCACCTTTTCAATGTAATCCACCAAGCATCTGTTCATATTCTCATAAGATAGGCTTCGTTCTTTTTCCATTCCTTGGGATAGTGGTATGGTTGTACAAGAACTATGAAGACCTTGTAAGAAGACACTGCTTATCCCCAGGGCTCTGCGGGATATCCGTGTGCCCAGGCTGCTTACACTTTCCATAGGTACAATACCTATGTAAGCAGCAGATGGTCTTAAGAGGCTTCCTCCTCTGCTAATACTAAATCTATGGCTTATGGGCACTGACCTTTCCTCAGTAGAAGTTGAGGGTTCATGTTCCGCAAAGGATGCCCTGCTTCTGGGTAAGGACATGCTGTACTTCAGAAGGTTTGCACTAAATGATTCACTTTCCTTTCCCTGCGCCTCTGATGTTGCACATATTCATAGAAATCTGTCAAAGTGCTCTCTCCTAAATTTCTGGGACATTTCTCATTGTTTGGGGCTGCCTACCTCAGGCATATTTGTTAGAACAATTGTTTGGGCCATTTCACTTGGTCAGCAATCTATTTCATGAGAAATCTGCTACAAGAGCACCATGCAGCAAAGACAATGCGGTAGAGGGCCATTGTAGATGGGGAGGGGAAAACAAAGAATTCTCTGTGCATTTAAACATTTGGCTCACTTGATTTCAGCCAGTGTAAATAGTTTTGCTAGAGTCAGGTTTTCAGTGTTAATGTGCTGTTCCCCCAACAGCAGTAGTTATCTGACAGGCTGCCAGGAACAGTTTGGTACAGTGGAGGCCAACAACTGTGGCCTTGACACTGCTATGAATTGCTATGCCTATCTCTGTAGGATAAAGTTAAAATGAATGTGGATTTTAAGAACCACTTTGTTAGGCATGCCGTTTATAGAGTTTGGAATAAATACAAAGAAAAGTCTTTTTCTAAAATACCTCTTTGGGTGTCATCCCACAAAGCCTTTTTTAAAGAAGGAAAAGACAAGAGAACCCTAACTGGTGGATTTATAGCGAAATAATATCCTTTGTTCAAGGTGAACCCACTCTTAAATCAAGAAGAGCTAGAACGTCCTACATGTCACTGCTTATTTATCTACAATTGAAAATAAAGGTTTCTTTTGGATAAAAATTTTATGGTTTTGAAGTTGCTAAAAATGAAATAGAAATAATACTGTGTATTAATGATGAATATCTTATAGCTAAAGTTTATAAAATGTTATATTGGACCTAGAGAAGGAGCATGTCAAATATTGTATCATTCAATGGGCAAGAAATTGCAGTTATAATATAATGTTTGAGCAATGGGAAAATATATAGACTGAAAGCCTGAAATTCACCATTGAATTATAATCTTAAAGATTATATATATATATATATATATATATATATATATATATATATACTTACCTCTAATCATGGTACGAATGTTCCTTGCAAATTTTTTTCATTGTACTATGTTCTATGTTCATTGTCTTTATCTCATTTCTGGCCCCCCTTAAGCAGTAACTCTCTCTCTCTCTCTCTCTCTCTCTCTCTCTCTCTCTCTCTCTCTCTCTCTCTCTCTNAGAGAGAGAGAGAGAGAGAGAGAGAGAGAGAGAGAGAGAGAGAGAGAGAGAGAGAGAGTTACTGCTTAAGGGGGGCCAGAAATGAGATAAAGACAATGAACATAGAACATAATACAATGAAAAAAATTTGCAAGGAACATTCGTACCATGATTAGAGGTAAGTAGAGAGAGAGAGACCTATGATAGAAGGTGAAATAAGATGGGTTGTGAAATTGTAATGTCCATTGTAATGCATACTGGTTTCGTATTAATTTAGTGATGGCTCATTTCATAGAAATATTTTAGCCTAGAACTACGCATAATATTCAATGAATATGTGGCAGAATATAGCTGTGTCCAGCACTAACTGAACCATATTAATAAGGCCATAAAATCATTCAGAACAATTTCAACATACTCTCAAAAATTTTGAAACAGAAATGGTGGTGGAGAAATGTATAAATAAATGAAGGTATACTGAGTATTGTGAATTGCTTTTACATGGATGTAGAACCTGTAGCTCTCCAAAAGGCATAAGGTCTTGTTACTAGACAGACCATCTATTCTGCATAGTATTTGCCTGATTAACTCAATTCTACTTGGCATCCTTCAATGAAAAAAATATGTTGGAACCCTGGAAATATGCCTTCTATGTTGCAGCCCCTAACCTCTGGAATGACCCCTGCTCCTGAAATCTTGGTAATCACACTGTGCTGGTGTTTTGTAGAGCCTTGAAGATTTTTGGCTAAGATAAGTAGCCCCTTCTGAAAAATGGGAATGCTGCCCGGTTTTTGCAATATTTTGTTCCTTATTTTTTACTATTTTTATTATTATTTTATTTCTTTTTCTCGCCTTTTTTATTTGGGAACCTTCCAGAATCACTGGAAATTGATCAGTGTAATAATAATAATGGAAAATCAGACTGGAAAATAATATCAGCAAGTTAGGATCAAATGCAAGCAAGCTAGAACAGATGAAAGAAAAGAACAAAAAGACTAAAGAATACTTGATTAAAAAATATCACTTAGAAACAAGGAAGATAAAGGAAGCACTGGAAATACTAAAGCAGCAAATAACAGCTACACCCAAGAAGATCAGCAGAGACGAGGCTCAAACTATAAACTGATTCTTCAGTTTCAATCCAGTTAGAAATGTTTCTTTTTTTAATTTTTTATTAATTTTCTAATATTACATTTGCATATTTGAAAAGCAACGTGGCAACTGAGTACAATAATTCCATTACATTTAAATATCATCAATACAAATCTCAAAATATTACAACAACTAATTCCCTCTCTTTCCCCCTTAATATATACTGTCTCATATTCAAACCAACATAATTCTTATTCTATCAATCAAACAGAAAATAACTCTCTAGCATTCATCGATAATCTTCAGTTTATACATATCTTAATTAATTTAACATTCCATCTTTTAGACAATCAATGACCTAATAAATTTTCCCCAATTTTAATTTTCCATTAATATTTTAAATTTAACGTTGATCTTTTTCATTTCCAAATTTTAAATGACCCCAATTTGTATCATAGTTCCCCCAGTCTAAAGTTTCAGATACACCTCTGATCTACACATGATTCTCACCGTTTGCATCAACCAATTAATAATACAAAGTAATATTCTTATTTAGTAATTCTTCAGTATCTTAGAATCTCAAATTTAATAGCCAAGATTTCTTTTATTTCCACACTTAGTATTTCCTCTTTCCCCCCCTCTTTATATCTATCTCATATCTGAGACAAATAATTTTAACCTATTAGCATTTATACCACAAACCAATATACAGATTTAATTATTAGTATTTTACTTCTAAGTTTTACTTAACCAAAATGTTTCTTTGTCTTGACTCACAATATCTTGAATTCAAATCTTGTTTTTAAACATTCAATCTTTTAGCCAATCAGTAACCTAATAAGCTTTTCCCCATTTTAGTTTTCCCTCAATATTTAAATTTAACACTCAATATTTATTTTTCCAGATTTTAATAAACCACAATTCCTTTATCACAATTCCTCACACAATCTAATGTTTAAGATACGCACCTTATATATAGATTCTTACCATCTGCCTTAACAAATTATTAAAACAATATAATATTCTTATTTTAATATTTATACTTTTTAATTCTACATAACCAAAGATTTCTTTATCTCAAATCGTTGCAATATTTTATATTCAGAATACATGTTTCATCTATTTGGGTATATTCTCTTTTAAATCTCATGTATAAATCAGAACCCCAGTCCTTTTCAGTCTTATTCTAGCTTTCTTTCTTTGTCAAATCATCTTTCGTGTCTTTGCTTTTAAATCATCAAGCAGATCTCCTTGTGTTGTTGTGGCTATTGTTTGGTGTTGAAAAGACCATCCAATTGCCTTCTTTTTAAGAGGACTAGCTGATCTAACAGGTCATCTCATTTTTCCATCTCAAAGTGGTTGTCCCAAAGTGTTTATCTTCTCTTTCATCTGTTTTTCTTTTTGATCTTCAAGTTCCTGATTTATAAGAAAAGTCCTTTCCTTTTTCTCTATTATCAATTTCTTTTCTGTATCTTCCATTATCTGTATTTGTTGAGTGATTGAATCTTCTTTTTTTTTTAAACAAGTTTTATTAATTTTCCATTTGTATAAAGCTTCGGGTATTAAGGAAGCAACATGGTGGTTGGGTAATACATAGTCCAATAACAAGCTTAACCATACATACGTCAGTTTACATCATCAAAAATTTCCTCTCTGTTTTCCTTAGCTATTATACCAAATTCAAATTAATACATTGCTAGTTATAACTCAAACATTTAAAACATTTATCAACAACTTTTGACTTATATGTCTCCAGATCCTGTTTTTAACTTTTATCTGATTTCAATTACAGTATTCCAGTTGGCTTAGGTTTCGGATAACGCACGGTTCCCCTAATTCATTACAGAATAGTTATCATGTCTAAAATACACTTATTATTTATTCAAATAAATTTCACAATCATATTCTACTTCTTATTCTAATATCATCGCTTATTCGTAAAATAACCTTTATCCTCTGAATCCATCTACTATATTATAATTCAAAACTATTATTTTAGTAACTAATTTATTTCCCTTATAGATATAAATCCTGAATATTAAATCAATTAATGTCTTTTAAAATCTCCTTATCCCGTTAAGTGAGATTTAAGGCTCTTCCATTAAATGTCACATAAAGAAAACCATTTTTTAAGTCTAACTCTGGCCTTCCTTTTGTGCCAAACTGGCTTCCATAACAGAGCTTTTAAATTCTTGGGTGGATCTCCCTTCATTCCTGCATATGTCATTTGAATCAAGGAAGACCATCCAGTCATCAGCCTATCAAGGAAGCTAGTCCCTTCATAGTCATTAGATTGTTGGTCTAATAGTTTGAATCTCCATATTTGGCTTAATATATTTGTCATAAGTTCAGGTTGGTCTTCTTCTTTTTCTGATTCCAGCTGGTTTAGATGAAAAGTCATATTCAGTGTTGTAGTTGTTTTTTGATCATTTGGGTTATCTGAATTCTCAGTGTATTGTGTATGTAAGTCTTCAGCACCTTCCATCTTAATGTTGTTTTCTTCAGTTTCTGTTGCTGTTGAAATTGCAGATTCTTTAGATGAAATCAAAGTTTGGGTGTCGGAGTTCTGAGTAGATTGTAGCTGGCATTCTTTCAAATCCACTTTAGTGTTAGTTCCTTCTTCTGTTGCTTTTTGGGTTGTAAGTTCATCTATTGAAGTCAGGGCTGCGTTTTGTAGCTTTAAGGTGGCGCGTATATCTTTCATTCAGTAGCTTCTAAGATTTTTTCAAATATAAATTTGAAGT